CGTCAGGCCAGCATCCTGACCCCGCAAAAACTGTACTTGCTATGAAAACAGTCAAAAGTAAAACAGCTTCGACGCAGCCAAGAGGAAAGTCGTCTCCGGCTGGAGACAGAAGGACGGACGCCAGTGAAAGCCTCACCGAGGAAGCTGACGTCCCGAAGACTAGAATCCTGTCTGCTAAGTCAGTCACACGCATAGGTTACTGGAACGTAAGAACACTGTACCAACCATCTAAACTAGCCCAAGTAATCAGGGAAATGGAAAACTACGACATTAGCATTCTAGGCCTCAGTGAAGTCCGTTGGACTAACTCAGGGAAGTTTACGTCCCAGAATAAGATAATCTTGTTCTCTGGCCGCCAAGATGAGATTCACAGGGATGGAGTAGCCCTTATACTAGACAAATCTGCTAGCCTTGCCCTTGAAGAGTGGACACCCATTAATGAACGCCTCTTGACCGCAAGATTTGTCACATCCCACTCAAGAGTCAGCATAGTTCAGTGCTATGCCCCAACAAATGACCGTGAGGACTCCGACAAGGATGCTTTCTACCAGCAACTACAAGATGTAGTCAACAAGGTCCCCCGTCATGACATCCTCATCATTATGGGAGACTTAAATGCTCAGATAGGGGGTAACAGATCGGGGTTCGAGCATGTGCTGGGCCCACATGCCCATGGGAAACGCACAGATAATGGAGACCGGCTTATCGACTTTTGCGCCATAAATAATATGAAGATTGGATCATCCCTCTTCGAACACAAAGACATACATAAGATCACATGGATATCCAATGACCACACAACTAAAACACAAATTGACCACCTAGCTATTGGACCAGGATGGAGAGTACCATGCCTGCAAGACGTGCGTGTGTACCGTGGTGCCGATCGCCGTAGTGACCACTATCTGTCCATTGCAAGAGTCAAGGTCAAGTTAAAGAAACAGAAGAAGAAAGCCTCCATGCCCAAAAGGTTTGACACCAACAAGCTAAAAGACCCTGTGAAGGAAAACCAATTCGAATCTCTACTGAGAAACAGGTTCTCTGTCCTGGCAGTCCCCCCACCGGGAACTGTGGAATGGTGGGATGAACTTAAGCAAGCAATGAAAGAAGCAGGTGAGAAAGTCCTCGGCTACAAGAAATCCCTCAGGGAAGCGTGGATCAGCGACGAAACTTGGAAGCTGATCAACGAAAGGAAGACACTGCATCAGAGGAGACATAAGGCCAAGTCGGCAAGTAGTAGTATATATCAGGAATACTCCGACAAAGACCGTGAAGTTAAGCGCAGCGCCCAAAGGGACAAGCGCAAGTGGTTGGAGAGTCAGGCTGATGAAGCAGAAAGAGCCGCAACTCGGAATGATATGCGTACCGTATATCAGATCGCTAAGAAGATCACTGGCAACTCAAAAGCTAGCATGGGTCCTGTCAAGGCCAAAGATGGTACCCTGTTGTCCAAAGGAGAAGACAAGCTTGCCAGGTGGGCAGAGCACTTCAAGGAAGTTCTAAACAGACCAGACCCAACCTCACCAGCAGTCACTGACCCACCTTCTCACCTCTCCCGATTGACACCAGTGACTTTTAACTCGAGCCGGAAATACATGAGGCCATAAAGAACCTGAAGAACAACAAGTCCCCAGGAATGGACGGCATTACTGCAGAAATGCTAAAAGCTGGAAGGGAATCCGTTGTCAAATGGATGTGCCAGCTCTGCAACAATGCCTGGAACCGGGGGGAAGTACCAGAGGACTGGAGAAATGGAGTAGTGGTTTGCATCCCCAAGAAAGGCAACCTTGCAGAATGCGACAACTGGAGAGGGGTTACACTCCTGTCCATCCCAGGAAAGGTCTACTGCCATGCTATCCTGAACCGCATAAGAGATGCAGTTGACGAAGAACTGAGGGAGCAGCAGGCAGGATTCCGACCCAAGCGATCTTGTGCGGAACAAATATTCACCCTGAGACGCATAATAGAGAAGTGCAATGAGTTTCAGTCCACACTGGCTATCAGCTTTATTGACTTTACTAAAGCGTTTGATAGCATTCACAGGCCCTCATTATGGAACATCATGCAAATGTACGGACTACCCAACAAAGTCATTTCGGCCATCAAACACATATATGCTGACTCCAAATGCTGTGTAAGGACAGATGATGGGTTCAGCGGGTGGTTTGAGGTAGTGACTGGGGTCCGCCAGGGATGTGTGCTGTCTCCAATTCTGTTTGCCCTTGCCATAGATTGGGTGCTGCAACAGTCAACTAAGGATAAAGGAATACCATGGCTGCAAGGACAAAGACTGTCTGATCTTGACTTCGCAGACGATATTGCCGGCTTAGCAGAATCCACAAAGGACCTCCAGGCCCTAGTGAGCGAGATTGGTTCCACAGCAGGAGGAATAGGCCTCACCATCAGTGGCAAGAAGACCAAGAATATGCTGACAGGATCTCATCCGCCACCTACATCTGTGTTCATTGATGGGAAGGAAGTGGAAATAGTTCAAAACTTCACTTATCTTGGAAGCTCCATCAATAGCAATGGTGACATGGACAAAGAACTTGACTGCAGAGTTGGTAAGGCTTCAGCAGCATTTAACCAGCTGGGCAAACTCTGGAGAAACAAGAAACTGTCCCTCAAGACCAAGATGCGCTTTTACAACAGCAACGTCCTGTCAACACTTTTGTATGGCTGCGAAACCTGGCACCTGAAACTAAGTCAAGAAAGGAGACTTGATGCCTTCGACAGCAAGTGTCTAAGGAAAATCCTGGGCATTAGATGGGATGACTTCATCTCGAATAATAACATCAGACTTCAAACTAAGCAGCAACCAGTGTCCTCCACCATTTGCAAACGCCGGCTCAGCTGGTTAGGACACGCTGTCAGACTTCCACCTGTCAGACTAGCCAACCAAATCCTACAGTGGTTCCCAGAAGGACGGAGAAGGAGGGGGCGCCCGAAGATGAACTGGCGACAGACAGTGGAGAGGGACCTTCAGGCAGTCAGCATGAGCTGGAAGGAAGCCTTGAGGCTGGCTGCTGACAGAGGAAGCTGGGCTGCTTTGACTGCCTCATGCGTCACGAGACGCGGGAGCCCCTAAGTAAGTAAGTCATGCGCACACGCTTAAGGTTAGGAAATGTTGCGTGTTTATAGGCCGAAAGAAAAAAAAAACAACGCAACACATAGAGTACAACTAGAAAGGCCGACATTTGCTTTGGAGCAAATTCAGCATGACTTCACCACATTTTACGACACGACAGGGAAAGAAGGAGAAATACAAGGGAAAATAATGATTTATGTTGATATAACTAAAGTATGAAGTGTACATATAACTAAGAATGCAACAGTTGGATAGCTATCCTCTACATTATTGGTTAGGATTTGGGGGTACTTGCCCACTTTACCTTCATGCCAAAAATAAATCATGTTATTTGGCCCAAATATGAAGGAGTTGAATCTATTTAAAGAAATGGCAGGAGAAGAAGAAGAAGAAACACGAGGAAAAACATAAAAAGGACATCATGAACATCCGAACGGATGGCATGGCAATGCAACGATAAGTTACAACATACCAAAGACAACAAGAAGCCGTACCAGATAGACAACAGGCAGCCATTTTAAGATATAGAAGCGTGTAACTTTTATTTAGTTTTATTTAATTTTCCGTCATTTTTATACAGGGTGGCCCATTAAGTGATTGCACTTCTTTTCAATGGGGCCCTGTTTTACACATCAAAACACAACAGTCACATACAAACAGTAAAATTGGGATACAATAGATAATGATAATGGCAATAATAATAAAGAAAAAACAGTAACTAATTAAATAACATTAAGAAATAATGATAATTACAAAAAGTACAAATTGTCCAGTCCAGGCATTGTCCAGTCCAAATTGTTGGCATGGAGGGGTCAGAGTCTTACTACATGTCTTTTCTTTTTGGTATCTACCAACAGGGGAAGTCTTTGAACATCAGGTGAAGCTGGAGCTTCTCCAAGATGCTGTTGCTACGCTGGAGGAGGCTGTGGATGAATTGGAAGCGAGGGAAATTGCCTCTCCAGACCTGGGAATGGGGGAACTACAGGAGATGGAGAGGGCCTTTGGTAATCTCGATGGTGAGCATCTGTCTGTATCGGTATAGCCGGTATAACAGCCCTTCGGCGTAACACACCAGCTTCGCAGGCACGCGGCGCGGCAGCAGCTAGCTTTATGACACCGAACAACTTGTTACACTCAAACACATTTAATTGCAGGAGTTGTTTAAAGCTTTCCAGTGATGATGCCCCAACTGTGCTTGGTGGCAACGAGTTCCAGTCTACGATAGTTATGGGGAGTTTTTGAACACCTCAATCCTTGGTTGATAACTTCGATATTTGAAGGCATGACTGTTTCTTGTTCTTTTCTGGGCTGGTATCAGATACTTAGTGGTTGGTACGTCCAGTTTATTAGTCATTAGTCATTTTGTACCAGTTTATTAGTCATTTTGTACATCATACACAGTCTGGACATTCTACGTCTGTCTTCCAGCGACCCCCACTGTAGGTTTCTTTTCATTTCCGTTACATGTGCCATTTGTACGTAAATCTGTCAAGATTCAAAGTGCTTGTTCTAGAACCTTTGTCCTCAATTACATTTATCTATTTGAAAATGTTCCACTTGCACTAGGGTAAATTTGAAATTGAGGGTACGAGTAATCAATGTAGTCATAGAACATGTTTTGTATAGGTACAACTGCTCACTGTACCCTTCATGCGTATAGTTTAGCGTAATGTAGAACGTACGTGTAGAGTTGAAATATTTTCTAGCCAGTAGTTCTTTATAACACTCTGTCAGACACAGTAACCGTTGACCATATATGTAGCATTATGATAGACTCATATCAACTAGACTTTATTGTTTGCCATACATTGTACCCGTGACAATCGTTGTGCAATAAACTTTCACTTGACTTGTAAAACAAAACAAAACAAAACAGAAGAACTAAAAACAAATAGTCAAAATCTACCATCTTGCTTTTCTTCTTTTTACAGAAGGAGATACCTTCGACACCCCTGAGAAGAGGGATGAAGTGGAGGAAGATGCTGCCTTAGGTCTGATAAAGGAGGAGCTTGAGGAACTGGTGGAAGAACTAAGAGGAGTCAACATTGATGGTGAGGATGGTTATACTTCAAAACCATGTCCTGTGTTTATATTCATTATCATGACTTCACCACTATGTAGTGAAGACATATTGTTTTTCCTCATGTTTCTTCTTCTCCTTCTCTTCTTCTCCTCCTTCTCCTCCTCCTGCCATTTCGTTAAATGGATTCAATTTCTTCATTTTTGGGCAAAATAACACGAAAGTTTGGGTTAGCTCCATGAACAGCTGCACATAGCCATATCATATTGAAAGTAGGTACTACATTGAAGTGTTTTGGTAGGTATGTCAAGCTTTCCTGTTCAAGCATTGGAAAGCGGGGCATAAACGCTTTTTTTATCTTGAAAATCAACAGTTTGCATTATGCAAATATAAATCCTAATTAATAATGTAGGGGATAGCTTTCCAACTGTTGTATTCTTAGTTATTTGTCACTTCATACAGTTATATCGATGTAAAACTTTGTTTTCCCTTGTATTCTCCTTCTTTCCCTGCCATGGTGAAAATGTGGTGTAGCCATGCTGAATTTGCTCCAAAGCAAATGTCGGCCTTTCTAGTCTTTTATTATCTATTATCTGTCTATACTTCAACGCATTGTAACACAACCTACAGTCAACACCTTCAAGAAGGGGTTGGCCCAGTACATGGGCCACCCTGATTCCCAGATATAGTCTCAATTTACTAGTCGGGATTTGCACTGAAAGTGTCTTTTGTTTTGTCACTTTCATCTTTTCACGCCACCCCACCGGCCGCACTAGCCATACACCCTGGGCGCGATACCCCATGCAGGGTTTTGCCCAGTAATATAGATACATGTAGATAGATATAGATCTTAACGTTATGTAATTTCATTTTAAGATGCCGAAAAAAAACAAACGAAATAATCATAGTAAACGAGAGACGCATAGGATTAAATCGCAGGCTCGAAAAACTAAGCTTAAGCTGAACATAAAGATTGGATTAGAACAGATAAGAAAAGAGACACAATATTGTTAAATCTAATTTTAAAAGATCCAAACAGATCAGATAATCAACATAAATTAATGTGCACAAATATACATACTTAGACAATTGGGGAGAAACAATTCGGCCAATTAGATCGAAAGACCTACTCAACTTCATATCACTTTTTCCTCAGGGACTGAGTAGACCCGACGGGAAAAATCCAGACTGAACAGGAAGAAGCCCCGTCGAAGAAAGCATTACATTTAATCTATTGAAAGCAAAGTTGATGACATGCCTGCCTTTCCGTTCATAATAACATAAGGTGTAGTAGTCCATGGACCAGAGGTCCAGATTGCATTATAAGGCCACAGCATGTAAATTTTATGGATGACATCCTCCACAGACTCGAAATCTAATGCGAGCAGGCGGAAAAAAAAACAAGGCGGGCCGAGAAAAACAAGATTCCTACATTTTCAAATTTTGACTCAATTATTGTACAAATGGTCTTGATTTAGTGGGAACATCACATATACACAGCCAGCATCACATATCACTGCATTAAAGTAAGAAACATAACATTGAATCAGAGTCTTTCTTTGTCTCATCTCTTCATAGTTATCGGCCATCCATGTTCCGGCATGGCAACAGACATCTTTGCCCATTTTCGGCGTGTTGACGACTGTCAGAGGGCAACAAAATTTCTTGTTTTTCCCAAAATCAGGCGAAAATTAATGCGCGCGCTGATGTCATCCATAAAAATTACTTGCTGTGGCCTAAGTGCAAAAGAACGTGGTCCATATGGGGTCAAAAGTTCAAGGTCAGATAGCAAGGTCAAAGCTACCACACTGCAACGGCTATCATGTCAAAATATATTCCACAGACCCTAGCTACTTTTCAATAAGCATAATGAGAATTTGCCAGCTCAGGTGGTACCAATATTTCATCTGGCCCATGGACTATAGACCAGATATTAGCACCCGTCACAAACTGTGGCGAAATTTAAAAAAGAGAGAGATACACATTGATGACACAAAGTCAGACTGTCGTCCAAACATCAAATTGTTTTAAAATATATATCAAATGAAACAAAATGCTAATATATATACATCGCTCTTACAGAGCACATTTCTTGGGTTAACTGGACAAGAGTTTCAAATGTGTGTGGCTCATATAGAAAAACTGCATATCATATATACAGCATGGCAAGATGTCCTATATATTTACTTCCAAAGGGACACGAAACAGATAACAAAAACGTGTGAACTATATTCTTTTTAGGATATAGGAGTTTTCTTTTACACATCAAAGATAGTTTACCTTGCTGACGTTTCGGTGTCTATCTTGGTTGCGTAAAAGAAAACTCCTGTATCCTATACTTTACCAACCTGATGAAACTATTTTTTTAAAAATATATATTCTTTTTAGTCTAAAAGAAGCATCATGCAGTCAGGCTAATATTTTTGTAGTCATACCAAAAGACATATTGTCTAATATATCCCTAGGATTCCTCCCTACATGAAAAAAATGTGGCTCACATTCATTCACAACTTGAAACATCGTATACAGATGCGTATGTAAGGTTTTTAGCTGGATCAACAGAACGATGTTCAAAGTAATCTCTCAATCACAATACTAGTACTATGTAACAGTACAATCAGGGTTATAAAATGTGGCTTTTATGTGAATTTGGCGGAGCAGCTTCAAGAATATGAAATGATGTGACTTCAGATAGACACAGTGACGATGACGTTTTTCCAATTTGTTATTTTCTGTTTTTTTACATCAAATTCACATAAATGTCACCTTCTCCTTTTGTAATACTAGACCAACACACTTAGAACTAACGTTACATTTTGTAATATGTACTATTCACAACACACATCAGAATGTAGAAAAATAGGATAACACTTGGTCTGGTGGCAGGGACCGATAAGCTGAAATGCCGCCTGTACAAAGTTTTTTTCACTGTTTCTTTACCTCTGGGGTATGTCATCCTTGGACAATCCACACAATATACAAATCAAGCTGGCCATATTACTGAAAATCTGGTTTTCGTCAATATCTGTGTTAGAGTTCCGAATATCCGAATAATTTTGGTGTCTATCCCCATGTTTTGAGGGATAACGAATGAAATTAAGCATTTCAGTATTTGTACTTAGTATGCAAATTAGGCCTCACAACATGCAAATTAAAGCCGCACAATATCCAAATAAAGGCCGCATAATATACAAACTAAGGCCACACAATATGAAATTTAAGACCGCATAATATGCAAATTAAGGCTGCACAATATGCAAATTAAAGCAGCATAATATGCAAATTAAGGCCTCACAGTATGCAAATTAAGACCGCACAATATGCAAATTAAGACCACACAATATGCAAATTAAGACCACCATTACTGAAGATCTGGTTTTCGCGTTAGAGTTCTAGTGTTTGAACGCCGTGGGAGGGTAGGCGGGGTCGTTGTTGTAGGGTGACGTCGCCATAGGAGGGGAAGCCATACTGGGCCCGGCGGGAGGCATGGAGTAGGCAGGCGGGCCCGGGGCCGGGGGTGAGCCGTACGCGGGCGGGCCCTGAGGCGGGCCGTAACCGTACCCTCCCGGCTGGGTGTACACGGTCTGGCTACTCGACGTGTAAGCCACGGTGGCTGGTTGGGTCGGCACCTGGAACAAAGGACAGTTATTCAGTTAAGACAGATACTACATATATATTTACAGTGTATGTATCTATGCAAAATTGACTGTTTTGGCGTTTTTGTGACTTCCAACATTCACAGCGCAGCATTTCCATCTGTACATCCCCAATCAATTAACCAATTAATCAATCAATCAATCGTTTTGTCTGTTGGAGTGGAAGGGTTGCAAAGGGGTGAAGTATGCCATCCCTGATCATTATTCATTTTTGTGTGCGAACGAAGGAAATCAATTTAATACAATGTATCCTAAACGCAAATTTGCTGATCCTAAGAAGGCACGAGAAGGGGCAACAACAAATATTTAACCATGTCCCTTTTCGCCTGCGTTTCGTACTGTGACCGCTAGGTCAATACTGTACAAACATTAGTACTTCGCTCTGTCGGACGTTATGCCAAATGCTTTAGCAATGAGAGGTGTGTCCATTGAAACCTAGTGCGTTGCCGAACAGAAGTAAATGTAGGTCATGTTGATTTGATTATATGGATGGGCGCGCATGAATTTTCGGTCGTTTCAAAAATTTTCAACCATACTGTTACATACATAAATCGTACAAAATAGTTCCAAAATGAGCAAATATATACCGTAAGTTGCAAAAAAAAAAATGGAAAACTATACCAATGTCGTAGAATGCCAAAATCAAACGAAAAAGACGAAAATGTAAAGAAATGAATTTGAATACTAGTAGCAGATTATTCGCCGTACCATACTCTGTGTCATTTGTTCAACCTTCATGAGCACGTAGATTTCATAATGAAAGCAATTGAAACTTTTTTGCCAAACATTTTTTATTCGCACGCTCGCATCAGTTTTGGGGTTCCCAGAGGATGTCATCTATATGCTAGTAATCAAACCAACATGGCCTAATGTATGAAACTGCGGTTTGATAACTAGTTGATAGGTTATCTACCTAGTTGATAGATTACTCACCACGACGCTAGTCCGTGTAGTGTTGTTACTCCGGCAGCAGCAGTAGTACGACGCCACCACCACGAAGACGATGAAACTGATCACTCCGAACACTATCCCGATGATCGTCCCCACACTCGGAGTCCAGTACCAGGCTACGGAAAAATTTCATAACACAAACGTTTAGTACGTATAACATTGGTCAAAACCTCTAGCGCCCGTTAATTACTATGAATCGAATCTTTCAACAAAAGAGAATGAAGTTTTTGTGCTCTTTTCAACATGGAACATGTGGTTTGTAAACGTTGTTACAGTAGCGTTACCACTATAACGTTACTGACAGTACAGTTGTGTTGTTTAATTCACCAGTTTCCCATCCCCAGAATGCATTGCGAAAACAGGGGTCTAAACCTCATTTGCATAGGACAGGAAGGCATCGGAATGATCCTGTTGACGTGAAACAGCTTGCTTTTCACTGTGTTTTGAGGTGTTGGAGCATTTTATGCTCAACATTAATTAGATTACTATGGGTCGAATCTGACAACAAATAGAGAATGAAGTTTTTTGTGTTCTTTTCAACATAAGCATCGCATTACCACTATAACGTTACAAACCACATATTCCAAAAAATTCATTCTCTATTTGTCGTCAGATTCAACCCATAGTAATTAAATTAACGTTGAGCGTAAAATGCCACAACACCTCAAAACACAGTGAAAAACAAGCTGTTTAACGTCAACACGATCATTCTGATGCCTTCCTGTCCTATGCAAATGAGGTTTAGACCCCTGTTTCCGCAATGCATTCTGGGCATGGGAAACTGGTGAATAAGTATTAGGCATGTCACAGGTTTGGGAACGAAAAGGACGCATTTCATGTGCCATGACGTCGACACCGCATCGAACAGTAACCAAGGCCTATGTTTGCTTACCTTGAGCCAAATTTGATTTTTCTGTGTCACACGTTACTTATGCCTTGCCGACAATGGCGCTGGCCTTCCTACCTTTTAAACACCATAGTTGGGAGTTAGTCGTTAGCAAGGTTATTTGTCACTGTTTGGACTCGGTTGACGAGGTTGTCTAAAAGTTGTCAGAAGTCAGAATGTTGTAAAAGTAATTTAGGAAATGAAATATACGGGTAACCCCTTCGATAAGCCCCTAGGCTTCTTGCGTTGCCCCGCACATTATTCATAATCGTAAGTTATCACATATTGTTGTTTTTATGTACAAACTGAAAATAAACAAACAAACAAACAAACAAGTCGTCCTATCAAGTTCATTCGCGTCTGGTAGAGGATAATTAAAATAGTCTGAACTCCAAGCATAGGTTAGGCTTGTTTAGGACGAAGATTTTAAGCGTTTTGCTCGTCTTTCTCTTTTGTCAGCTTTTCTTTGCCCATTTTTCAGTTTTTCCCTTCACGCACATTGGTGAATAAGACTCACTGGTATAGGTACCGCTCCAGTTAAAGCATCCAGCCAAGGCCGTCTCATCCGAGTTGTCCCTGCAGTCATCGTCGCCATCACACTTGTACCTGTTTGGGACGCATCTCAGGTTGGTACACGTGTACTCGTCCCAGCTACAGAGATATGCTGTGGAGTAGACAACATGTCACATCAGTGTGTAATAAATGAATATGTAAAAGTCTTTATTGTACATACATATGTATATATATGCCAGCATGTATGTATACATGAATACTGCATACATACATGCATACATACATACATACATACATACATACATACATACATACATACGCATGCATGCATACATACATACATACATACATACATACATACATACATACATACATACATACATACATGCATACATACATACATACATGAATACATACACAAACACATACTAGTACATACATACGTACCCGCTGGGTTGAGTGCAGGTCATACATACATACATACATACATACATACATGGTATTACATACATACATACATACATAAATACCCGCTGGGTTTAGTGCAGGTCACAACAAGGAATAGCTGACCTAGATACGACAGTTGCCCTGTTCTCACCATTGATTACACTGTGGGGCTGATCAAATTTTCCTTAAATTGGCCTACAAGACAAGTGTATGTGTCCGACAATTAAGTACAAATAGGTAAATATATCAAAGAACGTTTAGACCTTAGAACAAGTACATGTAGTATTAGTTAACTCATCTCTTATTTTGTACGTAGGTTAATTTCGTTGTACCCATGTATTTGCCTGTATATCTACATGTCTTAGACCTTACGAAAGTCGCTGTACTTTTGTTGTGTCAATAAAGTTCTCTCATATACAGGACTGCTTAGTTGCCGGAAGACAGCCTTACACGTACATGTACACACGTATACACCTGTAGCGTGCATACCGTGATTTAAAACATGACTTCTGATTTAGAAGAAGGATATCTAAACCCTAAGACATGTCTAGGATCTATAACATGGTCCTTTATAAATATAAATCTCCGCATGACATGGAATCATAAACTGTGAAAAATGTACATTCTTTCTCGTGTGCTTCAAAACTATCAACAAGAGATTTAGAGCTGGAACCATTCGCCATTCTCCTTTGTGTGGTACGGGTGACTTGTTTGACCACTTTTAGCACAACTATCTCATCATGACAACTCAAAATCGACTATTCTGTCCCACAATAAGGTAATAAAAACCACATGGACACAATTTTCTTCACTAAATGTTCAATTCAACTGTATGATTGTGTGTCCTTCTAGTTACACAAGTGTACTAGTTGGAACAATTCACCTTTCTGTGGTATGGGTGACCGGTTTGACCACTAGTACTTTCGCACAACTAGCATCATGACAACTCAAAATCGACCATTCTGTCACACAGTAAGGTGAGAAAAACCACAGAGACAAGATTTCCTTCACTAAATCTTCAATTCGACTGTATGATTGTGTGTCCTTCTATGTAGTTAGTGTAGAGGGTCGACACTGGTACAGGGGTAATGCGATAGGTCCAGACCATAGCAGAACTAGCCCCACTCGCAAACTCGTAAACATGAAGAGATCTCTACTCAACCCACCTGCGATTGTTGAAGTTTGGGTCGCAAGATTTTCTTCTCTAAATATTCAATCCCACTGTATGATTGTGTGTCCTTCTATGTAGTTAGTGTGGAGGGTCGAGAGTGGTACAGGGGTAATGCGATATGTCCAGACCATAGCAGAACTAGCCCCACTCGCACGGTAAACATGAAGAGATCTCCACTCAACCTTACCTGCGATTGTTGAAGCTTGGGTCGCCAACAGAAGGAACCCAACAATATAGGTTCCCTTCCCGACCATAGTTTGGTAGTTTTAACTTCGTGTTTCCTCAGAAAAACGTGGATTTCTTGAGAACTTCAACAACAAGACGTCCAACAAGAAGCCCCTGCGCAGTTTCCTTGTTTACAAAGTAACTTTACACTGTCTGAAAGACAACTGCTGTAGGCTTTGTGTCGTCAGACGTTGCTATGGCGACGGCTGGGCGGCCATTTTGAGCGGTGTGAAACCTAAGGTGCGGCCGACGTGGCCCGGTGCCAGAAGAGAATAACTTGCACGGTGCATCAATATTGGTTTTGTAAACATACACGTGTCAGCATGGCCTGACGCGGTAACATGTACATGTATAGAACTTTAGGCCACACCAAGTAAATTTTATGGACGACGTACTTTGGAGACCCTAAAACAAGATGCCTAGATTAGAAAAATACTAAGAGATGACAAATGTTAGGACACAAATTGAATGAGGTGCCACAGTGTAACAAGCAAGAAGTCTTTTGTTTATCATCAAAACAGCAATAAATCAGGTGGAACAGCAGTTGTCGTCCTATCCTGTTTTCGCGTTACGGGTCTCACGTCAATCTGACGATTTGTGGCACTGTCGTGACTCTTTGGTCATAGTTACAGGAAGCGGAATTTCTTGTGTTTTTTCTAGGAATAGGTCAAAATCAATGCGCGCGCGGACATCATCCATAAAATTTACTTGGTGTGGCCTTAGAACTCTATTGACACAACAAAAGTACAGAGACTTTCGTAAGGTCTTAAACTACATGTAGACATACAGACAAATACATGGGTACAACGAAATTAACCTACGTACAAAACAATAGATGAGTCAACTAATACTACTTGTTATAAGGTCTAAACATTCTTTGATATATTTACCTATTTGTACACAGTAAGGGTTATTGCCTTCTAGGATGAAATCAAATTTATCTATAGCATGAAATATAACAAATTCTGTTGAGCAAGCAGAGAGAAGATTGGCAGCTTTGTGCGTTTATCGTTATATAGTGGACAATCCATGACTAGGACTCTAGTCCATGGTAGTTAGTGACAATACGTAGCCGGTTGTAACTCTGGATCGGATGGCACCCAGGCTACCGAACGACGGCAAGAACTCGTGCCGATTCCTCAAAAAGCCAGCATGTGCCGGCTTGTCGTGTACGTCACTATGTACTACCGCAAATTCACAATACCAGCTTTGTATTCCTGTGGTTTCGTAGCATTTTTATTTTTGCCCGGAATTTTTTTATTCGCCCGCGCGCACTAGTTTGGGGGTCTTCAGAGGATGTCATCCATAAAATTAAGTCGGCGTGGCCTTATATTGGGGTAAATTACAAAGTGAGAAAAGATTTGTTTGAGACTATAGGCACCGGCTTTCCATACTCTGAACAGGAAACCAGAACTAGTCAAAAATCAGACACAAAAACGTGACTGTGAAATTTGAAACAAAAATACGCATAGGTAGCTAATGCAAACTCTCGACTCATGACCATGGCAGTTATATTGCGATTGTTTGTAATTGTGAGTTATACATGTACATGAATGAATGAATGAATGAATGAATGAATGAATGAATGAATGAATGAATGAATGAATGAATGAATGAATGAATGAATGAATGAATGAATGAATGAATGAATGAATGAATGAATGAATGAATGAATGAATGAATGAATGAATGAATGAATGAATTTTTATTAACGTGTCGCCCAGCCCATATGGGCTTATAAGACACCAGAACATAAACATGAACATAAACATAGATACAGAAATCACAGAAACATAAATCCAAGTCCGAATCAAAAGGTCAGACTGGAAACATCAAATGAAATTAAAGAACTTATAACAAAGTTGAACATAACATAATCGGTACATAAGAGTCAAAAGTGCACGAAGTCAACTCAAATTGTCAAAAGAACATAAATGCAACTCAGCTTGAGCTTAAATATAAGCACGAGTCCGGGAAAGAGAAAACAGAGAAGAAATTTATGAAAAAATGAAGGTTTTGCGTTTTTTCCAAGCTTGATAAATATATAATGCAGTTTCAAAAACACATGACCTGAGTAAACGGCAGATAAAAAAAACTCACAAATATATCTTCTACAATATACATATAGCATCATGGTCAGAAATACCTCTATTTGTAAAAAGGTAATCTGTATGTAATTCTGCCAAAGTAGCATCCGACTAGCCTCTACCAGGCACCGCGGATCGCTGGAAAAATAGTAGAAATTGGCCGAAATAAAGGGATAGTATACCAGAGAAGATCCAGGGCCATAGAAGCTCCAATTTGCGACCCACGTGCCTGGTAGAGGTTAACAACCGACATCTATTTCTGCATCCTGTTTCCTTTATTATGTACACAGCGCCTCGGTACCAGCACAGGCAAAACTAAGGACCGCAAGGACACCCAATGCAAGCGCTTAAGAGGAAAACCTATTGTTTTTTGTTACGAAAAATTTAGTACTTCTAAAGCTGCTTAGGCCTAGTAATAATGTTGCGCTTCTGCCTTCCGCCTCGACATAAAATATGGACGGTAGGTATAGGTAGGTATAGGTAGGTATATGAAGGTATAGGAATTCTCGGTTGCTAATGTAGTCGGGAAACCGGAATCAAAACATGTGCCACGCAACGGACAACTTAGCCTGGGTGCCAGACGCTGGCGTTCATAAGCGATAGATTTTCTTGTGGAAAGAAGCCCTAATGTCCGCTACAGTATCCGCCGCCCAAGCCCAGGCTGCCCCAAACCCTTTATCTTTTTCAGAGCCAGGGCGCAAATCGGGGTCGGCGGGGCGAATGGCTTCCCTGGCCGAAGGGGTTAGCTCTCATTCGCGGTAGGGGCTGGCACCCAGGCTACGAACTACGTCACTCAACCATAAATCCCTCAATAAGATTACAGGCTGGCAACGGTTGCAAGTATCTGGACCTGGCATCCGTCCAAAGACCCAATAACTGTAAGTAGGTAATTTTACCATTTATATTATCATATGGCCATAGTTCTGGTCTGATATCTATTTGTGATTAGCTACGTCGGTGTTATCCAGCTACTCGTGGTTTGGATTACCTTGGGTACCAGACAAGTTTACGGGCCGCTAACCGTTAACGTTTCCTTCGGCAGCTAGAAGCCCTTCGCCCGCAGACCTAAATCACCGCTGCGGTGGAGTTGAGCCCGTGGGGAGTTTTCGGCCCTACAACGTTTGTAGGGCCAGCCAAACTCCCCCGGGCTAGACTCCCCTCGTAGCGGTAATTTACACCAGCGGGCGAAGGGCTCTTGCGGCCCGGAAAACGAGCTTGGCTTCCAGGGTAGGTTTGGATAGGCACAACGGTGCTAAGTACAGGTAGACACCAGGCTACCGCAGCGTTTGACGTCCCTTTTGATTTAGCGGTCGCTTTCATGTGTATGTTTCTCATTTAGGTGTTGGTGCTTGTGGATGGTTTACAAAAGGCTAGGTAGCTTCATACTAAATTCAATAAGCAAGCGCATCTAAAAGTCCTACAGAGGTGACGCTAGTTTTTTTTTTACCTTTGTTTATTTACCTCCATGAAAAATGTAGGTGTTGTTTTGGGTGTGTGACAGATAGCTTTTCCTGTCAGGAATAAGTGGTGTGGGGTTTGTCCACTTAGCAGCTTGTTCTGGAACTGCAGGTGACTTCCTGGCGAAATCTTTTAAAGCCCAGAAAGGAACAACATATTTTCATCATTTTTGGTAGGTAGGTAGCTTATAGAGAGATGTACATGAATAAATGAAAATTATGCAAATGAAGACTCAATTTGCATAGTTAATGAGGGAATTCTGTAGTTACAGTGTTTTTCCTGATGATACTTTCATACATGTAATGTATGCTATCTATGGTAGGTGGAACACCATCAGATACCAATTATGCAAAAATGATCTAATTTGCATAATTAATGTGAAAATTCCATATTGGTAATTGATGGGAATTTAATACCTTCTGACACGTGTATGTTACTTAAAGGTTAACATCACTTTGCATATATTGCTAATATATAGATCATTTGCATAATTAATGAGGACATGTTAATACGAAACATATATATATTTTACAACCGAAATAATGTTGAGTGTAGAAAACCATAAATCAAAATGAATTATGGTAATTATGACTTTATTTCAATAATCAATAAGATAAATCCCAAAATAACAAACATTTCCAAAATCTCTACATATTTCATGGAGGTATGAGATCTCCGAAGTCTTTTTTTGTGAGCTACATGTGCTTGTACCCATTCTCTAAATTCTACTCTTTCCATTTCGTATCCTATAGGTTTGAAGAGTTCCGGAAATCTTAAGACGATATGGTGACCTTAAGGTGTATCAAAGTCTCGTTTTACCTGATCCTGACCGCCGCCGGACTCCTTACTTTCATCTATATCTTTGTGGTGATGCACATGACAAATACCCAGTACGTCAAGATTATAAAAGCTAATCGTTCGAACCGAGCGGCGTGGATGACTGTACGGGGAGAGACCTCTTCTTTCCCAAGCATAGCTTCTCACTCTCACCTCACAACAACAACAACAACAACAACAACAACAACAAAAACAACAACAACAACAGAAATCGATAAACTGGGAAAAGCAGGAATTGTGGAGCGTGCAGCACTAAACAGTTTTAACGTGCGATTACAAAATTCTGAATTGATAGATCCTGACACAGACGTGCTCAAAATAGAAGAGGCTGCAATGCACACGGAGGTCACCCAAGATGGGAAACCTGTCCAGCCGCTAACACAGACTTCCCAAAGCGACAAGGATCTCCGTAACGAAGCAAGCAACATAGATACTGGTGGGAATATCACCAACTTGTCTCGCCACCGTTATAGTCGAGAGCAACCAGTGTGCAAGTATCCGGACCTACAGATGGAGAGCACTGAATTCAACCACCTTTTTGAAAATATAACAAACCTGTACTGCGGACATGCCTCTATCAACTACCTGACATATTTAGACGGAAGCTCGCGGACAGAAGAATCTCCTTGGGATACAATTAAAGTAAACTTCAGCGCCATTCCACCAAAACATACACTACTCAGCTGCAAGTACCGTAGAATTGAGAGGCAAAATGATAACAGAAACCTATATACCACTCTGAGCACAGAAAGATTTGTGTCCAACAAAGAAGCTATACAATTTCCATTCAAAGACGAGTTTGCTAAGGTCGCTTGTTTCTTACATGAGAGTGTGTTTAATGAAAATAATCAATCATTGGTCAAAGTTCTTAGAGTTCATAACAACGTGTTTGCACAAGTAATAAGGAATGATGGTTTAGTTCAGGACAAAAAGGTGGACATAGAGAAGGAAGGCCGAATGAAGAAGGCACTTGGACAGGGTATGAACGTCCTTATGGTCGGAGTGGACTCAACCTCACGAATGAACTTCATGCGAAAACTGCCCAAAACGTTCAAATATTTCACAGAGACTTTGGAGGGTCACGTCCTGAAAGGTTATCACGTAATTGGCGACGCCACGACGGCGCAGTTCCTCGGCATGTTGACGGGGTTTCACGAGGAAGAGCTGCCCAACACGAAGACGGGAGTGAAAAATTCAACAACCTGTGACGTCTTACCGTTAGTGTGGAATGAGTTCAGAAGGATGGGCTACACGACCATGCACGCGGAGGATTGGCCTCAGTACGGAACTTTCCAATACCGTTTACGTGGCTTTATAAAACAGCCAACCGATTACTACATGAGGACTTTCTGGGTAACACAAGATATTCTCCGGGAGTCTAAAGAACTCTACTGTTTCGGAGCGACTCCTAAGCATCAGTACACTCTGAAATACGCCCGAGATTTTGTAGAAGCGTATCACGACATCCCCAAGTTTGCCATCGCGTTTCACTCCGAACTCAGCCACGGAAGTCTAAACATGGTGCAGGTTGCCGACGAAGACATTCTGACACTCATCAAATCCTGGAGGGACAAGGGTTACCTCAACAGCACCGTGTTCATACTTTTTGCCGACCATGGAGCCCGATTCAGCGGCATGAGAGAGCTACTTCAAGGGCGACTGGAGGAAAGACTGCCGTTCTTTGGAATCGCCGTTCCACCTTGGATGAAGAAGACGCATCCCGAGATCGTTCGAAACCTCAAGAAAAACGAGGAACGTCTCACGACGGCGTTTGACTTCCACAAGACGCTGCAGCACGTCCTGGACTACCCAGGCGACCCGGCTAGTTTCCAGGGACACGGCATCAGTCTTTTTCAGGAGATCCCGCTCAACCGAACATGCGAGGACGCCTCTATAGCCGATCACTGGTGCACCTGTCTGCAGTCCATACCGGCGAACACCACGGATCAAATAGTTCGAGAAGCAGCGGACTTTGCAGTCTCCTATATGAATAAATTAACAGAAGACCACCGAAGCCTTTGTGTCGAGCTTTACCTAGAGAACATAACTCACGCAGAAATTGTCCAACCCAATGAGAAAGTATTACAGTTTGTTAAAAGTAACAGGAAGTATCGAGATGCTATATTTGGTGCTAAACTTAATGTTACTTTCCTGGACCTTCTGATTACGCTGAAAACCAGACCCAATGGTGGAGCATATGAGGTGTCAGTAAAGAAATGGCTGTCTGGTGAGAACCTTAAGACTGAGATAACAGCAGATATCAGCCGCATCAACGCGTACGGAGATCACTCCAGGTGCATCCAGGACAACTTTCCTCACCTGAAAAAGTATTGCTTCTGCAGAGAGTTTCTTAACTCTGTGCCTACGGAGTAATCAATCAATCAATTAATTAATCAATCAATCAAATGTTTTTATTCATAAAAACAAGAACTTTGAACAAGAACAAGAGCATAAGGAAAACATGCTTCTCAAAGAGCAGAAAATTTCCGCTCAGATCAGTTTTTTGGGATAAATTACAAAGTGCGGAAAGTTTTTGGATAGTGAACAAGATTATTTCTTGAGAGGGGTGAAGGAAGCCATATACATCAGGGCCCACCTCCCTTCATTGAACCGCGACGGGGGCCGACATCGTCTACCAGATACCTTTGACCCAGTGTTGACGTCACACTTCAAAGAAGCCACGTGACAAGCTTCACTGGGTCAGTCTACTGAGGAAGACCAGATTGACTGGTCGAAAGCTCTAGGTGAGAGAACTTTTTGTGTTTGATCAAAGGTCTTTAAATATGTAACTACCAACACAGATGAACTTCCATGATTGCGGAAAGTTTTGTGTAAGACCATAGGGGTCGGCCTTCCATACTTTGAACAGGAAATCAGAACTAGTCAAAAATTAAAAACAAAAATGTGACTGTGATTACAAACTTACTTACAAACTTGAAACAAAAATACGCATAGCTGGCTAATGCAAAGTCATCTTGCAATGGTGTGCAATTGTGAGTTGTATATGACCTGACCTATATGACTATGTATTTCTGCCAAAGTACCATCCTTACATCTGTAACATGGTTGGGTGTTTCACTTTTGTTCGTGTAACTGCCATGAGTTATATACAGTAAGAGATTGCTATGTCAAAGTAATATAAAACAATGTTAAATGGTTCTGTCTCAAACGTCATCAGAAGTGCTGTTTGAAAATAAAGACAATGTCAACTCTGCACTCAGGTATTGGAGCTTTATTTCCAACGGTATAAACACTTAATTCAATATCTTACGTCTAAAACTAGCGCTGTCCTTGGTGCTGAACACTCAATACATGCATAACTATCATTGTCCTTGGTGCTAAACACTCAATACATGCATAACTATCCCTGTCCTTGGTGCTAAACACTCAATACATGTATAACTATCCCTGTCCTTGGGGCTGAACACTCAATACATGCATAACTATCATTATCCTTGGTGCTAAACGCTCAATACATGCATAACTACCCCTGTCCTTGGTGCTGATCACTCAATACATGCATAACTATCCCTGTCCTTGGTGCTGAACACTCAATACATGAACAACTATCCCTGTCCTTGGTGCTGAACACTCAATACATGCATAACTACCCCTGTCCTTGGTACTGATCACTCAATACATGCCTAACTATCCCTGTCCTTGGTGCTGAACACTCAATACATGAACAACTATCCCTGTCCTTGGTGCTGAACACTCAATACATGCATAACTATCCCTGTCCTTGGTGCTGAACACCCAATACATGCATAACTATCCCTGTCCTTGGTGCTGAACACACAATACATGCATAACTATCTCTGTCCTTGGTGCTGAACACTCAATACATGCATAACTATCATTGTCCTTGGTGCTGAACACTCAATACATACATAACTATCCCTGTCCTTGGTGCTGAACACTCAATACATGCATAACTATCCCTGTCCTTGGTGCTGAACACTCAATACATGCATAACTATCCCTGTCCTTGGTGCTGAACACCCAATACATGCATAACTATCCCTGCCCTTGGTGCTGAATACTCAATACATTCATAACTATCATTGTCCTTGGTGCTGAACACTCAATACATGGCTAACTATCCCTGTCCTTGGTGCTGAACACTCAATACATGCATAACTATCCCTGTCTTTGGTGCTGAACACTCAATACATGCAGACCTGTCCTTGGTGCTGAACACTCAATACATGCATAACTATCATTGTCCTTGGTGCTAAACACTCAATACATGGATAACTATCCCTGTCCTTGGTGCTGAACACTCAATACATGCATAACTATCCCTGCCCTTGGTGCTGAACACTCAATACATGCATAACTATCCCTGTCCTTGGTGCTGAACACTCAATACATGCATAACTATCCCTGTCCTTGGTGCTGAACACTCAATACATGGATAACTATCCCTGTCCTTGGTGCTGAACACTCAATAAATGAACAAATAGCCCTGTCCTTGGTGCTGATTACAACAATTTATACAACAGAGCTCAATGACAATGCCCTGCAGTTCGCATCACATCCGCTGTGAGGCTCTGTACTGGCGGGTAGAGTAGACCACAGCCGGCGACTGTCGGGAAACAGAAATGAAAAACAAGAAAAGGACAAACACAAACGTTAGAAAATTATATTTCATTTATCTATTAATTCTTAAATAGGTGAACAAGATATTTCATCACATTTATGGATCCCATTTTGTATAGGCCGTGTTAAAAAGACAATAAAAGGTGATTAGAAAATTTCCTAAAAATACATTTTTGGATAAAAAAATTAATGAAAAAATTTTTCAAAGAATTTTGTTAAAAAAACAAACGTTCACTCACCTTGCTACTCTGACTATCGTCACGTCTGCGAACACACATGAAGTAAGCTAGACCAGTGGCGAGGAAGATCACTACAATTATCGCTGCCACTATGATTCCCACGATCTTGTCCGTGCTCAGATTTGAGGTGCTTCCATCTAGAAATAAAAGAAAAAGCGAAAAGATGACGAAAAAGGGTTTGGAACAACTCAAAAGTTCAAAACGTTCTTGCCAACAACTCTTTTTGGACTTATCTAAATTTTCGACCCTTCTACTGCAGTTTCCGGGACTTGATGTCGGAAACACGTGATTGCAGCAGAGGGTCGTACGTGTCAGATAACCTGTGTCACCCCCCGTCTCTGTTCAGTGTTGGACGGTTGGCCCGAATGTACACCGCCTCCATCGTCCGCTAGAGAGTACATTTTGCCACACACTGTACTCTCTGACGGACCAGCATGCATTTGTCCAATTTCTACTCTTTGCAGCCGCATCCTGAAGCCTGGTAGAGGCTAGCTCAGGCCCAGAGAAGAGTGAAACAGACGGTGGCACTTTAATTTTTACACGGTGAGATGATTACGATTTACATGACGGAAAGAGTCCCAATATTGTCTTACCTCTGCAGCTGGTCTCGTCTGAATTATCTCCGCAGTGATCGTACGAGTCACACGTGAGCTCCGCGGACACGCAGCGCGAATTACTGCAGCGGAACTCCGCGGAACTGCAGGGACCTGAACATGTACACATACATACGGACGCATTAGTAACTGCATATAGAATCTTACATCAAAATTCTAACTAAAGGTACTAGAACTTTGGAACCAAAAGCGCTTGAACGTTTCAAAGTTTATGTATCAGTTACGCTAAAAAAAAAAAGTTACTCCAGCAACTGGATTTGATTTTAGAAACGGTCAGTGGTTTTACCTGGATGTCTAACCTTCACCGTCGACGCATCTGTATTTGTAACGGTATAGCCGGTATAACCGCCCTTCGGCGTAACACACCAGCTTCACAGGCACGTGGCAGCTAGCTATAGTACACCGAACGACCTGTTACACCCAACCTTTGCAAACCTAATTGCAGGAGTTGTTTAAAGCTTTCTAAGGATGATGTCCCAACTGTGCTTGGTGGCAACGAGTTCCACTCTACGACAGGTCTTGGAAAATACGACTTTTTGAACACTTTGTGTGACCTACTAGTTTCCATACTTTTAGTAATATATACATCATTGTAACAAGATACGATGAAACAAACTTACTCATCGTGGGGTCGTGTGGCGTAACTACAGAGTGCTCGACTCTGAACCAAGAGGTTCGAGTCCTGACATGCCACCGATGTTGTGCCCCTGGGAAGGCACTTTACACGACTTGAGTATTGTCTACTCTCCAAGCAGAGGTATGGGTTTTGGGGGTATTTTTAGCGTGTTTTTAGGCTTTTTTATCGGGGTTTCTCTTTTGCACTGAATTTTTTTTCCACCAAACCCCCCAAAAAAAATTCAGAAGAGAAACCCCGATAAAAAAAGCCTAAAAACACGCTAAAAATACCCCCAAAACCCATACCTCTGCTTGGAGAGTAAGTATTGTCCTGTCCTGTATTTGTCCTCTGCGTTAGTGGCGGCATAAAATAAGCTGAAAAAACTTGAGTGTGCTGTCACCATGTGTTGTCATGAATTGTTGGAATAAAACAAAACTTACTCATCTTATACGCAGCGTAAGTGATCTTGAAACCAGACCCTTGTGATGCACTACTGCTATCCGTGACGAAGTGTAACGTCATCTTGTTGGTGGAGGAGAAATATCCCCCCTCCTGCGTGGTGAAGGTATTTTGAGACGATCCCGATGACGTACCACAGATCGGGCTGCCCAGGAGCTCAAACAGAGCGACACTCCCGCCCCGGTACACGGACAGGCTGTCTCCGTCACAGTCTATTCTGTGGAGAAAATAAGATTGTTTGGACCATTCTTTGGGCTAAACCAATTTAATTTGTTGGTTCACGGATGCCCCGCTTCATTTTTTCTGATTTGCAAAAAAAACACACATTTCAGCCTCCGAATCAACTCCACGTGCCCATATTTTGGCCCAAACGTCAACAGCTGAAGAAAGTCCCTTCTCTTCAGAGTTGTTACAGTTTTTCCATCTGTCAATGCAGTGGTTTGATCAAAAGTTTGAAATTCATTGTTTGAATTACAAATCAGCCTGGTATGCTGACTTCAGGGCTCCTATCATACTATACTGGATTCATAGCATTTTGGGCTATCATAGGATGCCTGAGTCTGTTTTGATATTTTTTTCTCCCTGTTGCTTCATATCTTTTCCGAAAAAAATCCGAGAACCAACAAATTAAATTGGTGTGGCCTTATAGGAAGATATTTATGTATATGGTGACAGAATCCCTCCTGCTATAAAATCGCAACATGATGTAAACAAACACTGGTTACCATGGCGATAGACGTCTGGTTCAGGCCATTGACCTTATTTGTTTGAAGAAGAAGAAACAATATGTTTTCCTGATAAAATTGATACAAAGAAATGGCAAAACTTACGAGAGCGACTGAACCCCAATGTGTATGTACTTCCCCGAGTCAGCGGACAGGGTGAGTTGACAGTCCAGTCCCCCGGGGTACTGGTCTTCAGGCTGGGACACCAGCACACCTCCCCCCGATACCGGCAACACCTCGCCGCAGTGGTCTGTCATGTAGTCTGTAAACATCACAGAAGTCAAGTGCTAGGAATGCCGAATCTGTACATGTGAATACACAGTCTACAATATAACCGCCATCAACATGACTTATGACGCTATTCGTTTCTTAACTCATTATACACATTGAACCGCGACGGGGGCCGACATCGTCTACCAGATACCTTTGAACCAGTGTTGACGTCACACTTTTTTTTTTTCCTTCTTTTTATTGATTTTCACAAACATAAGATACACACACAGAAAAACTTATACTGAAGGGACATGTAGAACACAGAAAAAGATAAACAAATACAAAATAATATGGAACATAAGTCCAAACTGAACATAAATCCAAAATATGGAACATAAATCTAAACACAGAAACACAAGATTGGATAGTTCACAAGAAACAGTAAAATAAGAAAACATACAGATTCTTTTGCCCTGAAGATTTTTGTGGTCAGATCGCATTCCAACTTGTGTTTCTCTCCATATATGAAACAAAACAACAACAACACAACAGAACATTTTTTGCTTGTGGTCTGGCGGCATTCCAGCATGTGCTTTAGCTCCATAAATAATTACTATTTTTCCGCAATAAATAAAACAAAATATGTTTAGGAAACACCAAGGTCTAATCAGCCTAGTCCGGCTGGCAAAAATCATATATCACATGGCAAATCATAATGATAACAAAAGGAGCAACAAAACAAAACAAAACAAGGAAGTGATTTCTTTACACCTAGCGTGCGCCATTATGTACTCTTAATTAGCAGGTGTCAAAAAAATTCCTCAGGCCCTGTTGTGAAAACAGCCACTTTTTAATGCAAATCAGTCACAGCATTTCAAATTTGTTCATGCAGATTGTCAGTTACACAAGAGTGGTCTGCTGAACGGTAAAAAAAAACATTTCAAAGTCGTTTATACTGCTGAGTGCCACTTGCACAAGAGTGGTCTTCTAAACAGGCAAAGAAAACAACACATACAGCAATGATAACTCTTTTCAAACGTCAAGTGAACTGAATATACGTTTCTATTTCTACACTCTACATACTAGTCCTGCTTTGAAAGGAGAATGTCTACGGCGTCCACTCGCTTTTTCTCCCTGCCATTAACCATCAGCGCCGCGTAAGTACACTTGGGAGGTACCCAGATCGAAACACTCACTTTACTGTCCTTGGCTTTGTCCGCCTCAGCATTCCTCTCCGGAATTAGTTTACCGCGCGCGGCTTGGAGAGGGGGGGGTAAATGCTCGTACACCACAAACGTGTTCTTTCCCCGTAACTTCCTCCCCCCTTGCAATACACAATCTCTATCGTGGTAGTTCACGAAACGGACTAAGGAGGATTCGGTCGTGAGGTTGTAGGTCTTGAAAGTCGATGGACCGCAACAATAGGCATAGAATCAAGACCGAGCTCGTCGGCCAGAAAATTCTCAAGTACTTGCCTACAGTTCTCTTCTTTGTTGTATGGGATTCCGCGAATGACGACGTCTGCTTTCATCGAGTATCTCTCAGCAAGAAGGCTCGTCCTGATCCTCTCTCGTCGTTCAGCCAGCAGGGAGTCGTTGAGCCGCTTCATCTCGCTGTCCTGGAACTCCACGGTGTTCTCCAGCTCTCGCACCCGTTCCCGCAGCGCCGCCATGTCGGTGGTGAGGCTGTCAACTTTGGAGTCTAATGTTTGTATCTGAGACGACAGCTTGTCTCCAACAGTATTAAATTCCTTTACCACAGTGTCTTGCTGTTTCTTTACTTGCGTCATGATTAGTTGTGCCAGTGTTGAGGGTCTGCATGCCCTTTTTCGTTAACCGTTATGGGCTATTTTAATTTACCGTTAATCGTTACCGGCCCGCTCTAATTTAACGTTAAGCGTTATCAGTATATTCCTCGTGAAGCGTTATTGGTCGTTTTAATTCAACGTAAAACGTTATTTGTCATTCTAAATTCAGCGTTAAGCGTTAATGAATAATTCTTCGTTACGCCTAATTTTGCCTTTCAAAGTGCAGGAAAATGCGTCATTGAAGGGTTCAAAATACAAAATTTCCCGGGGGAGAATGCCCCCGGACCCCCCCTACATTGCTCGCGCCTTTGGCGCTCGACTCGCGCTTCTGCGCTCGGTCCCTTCGGCTCTAGCCAGATCTAGAACCAGCTTTCCTGTCAATTTCCGGAAGTTTGCGGAGGGTTACAGAATTTTTTTTGAAGAATCCGTCAACCTTGACAGGCAAATTAACAAAAATCTTGAGTAAAATATGAAAACGTCAGAAGGACCGACAAACACTCTCAACACCATGATTTGCCTCTCAAAATGTGGGAATTGCGTTTTTGAAGGCTTAAAAATCCTAAATTTCCCGGGGGAGCATTCCCCCGGACCCCCCTACGATTACGACGCTCCCCTCTCAAAATCCACTGGGCAGACTGAAAAAATGCAAGCTGGCTGACGTCGACTCGGACTCCCCTTTATTTGTGGACGCACTCGGGGACCGGGGCATGTGGGGAACACAGGGTACACATACCTTTAATGCGTGCTTCATTACATGTAAGATATACGTAATTTTGTCAGTGATCACCTTTTCTCACAAAGCGAGATACCAAATCCAGTGCAGCTCGAACGAAAAAAAGTCTGTCAATTTACCGTTAAGCGTTGCCGACCGTCCTGAATTTACCGTTAAGCGTTATCGGCCGTGCTGAATTCACCGTTAACCGTTGCCAGGACCCCCCCATGCAGACCCTCAGTGTTTGTAGCTCTTGAGGGAGGGAATTTAAACTCACCTCACTAACGTCCTCGGGCGGATTGGCAGCCATTTTCAACGTCTTGGGAGGGGGGTTCTGTTGACTCGGGCTGTTTTCCCCCACACTTGAGCCAGAGGAGCCTCTGTTCCGTTTTCCCATGAACAGACGATGATCCAACGCAGACAAAGAGACAGTTTAGAGGGATTCGGATGACCTGCGTTGGTCAGAAGACGCGGGTTAACAGAAAAAACTCGGAGCTACCAGACACACGTCACGCCACCGCCGCCGCCATCTTGACGTCACACTTCAAAGAAGCCACGTGACAAGCTTCACTGGGTCAGTCTACTGAGGAACATCAGAGTGACTGGTCGAAAGCTCTAGGTGAGAGAACTTTTTGTGTTGGACCAAAAGTTTTATCTCTAAACTCGTTATACACATGTATAGTAGAGGGGATTCCTCAATCTCGCACACGCAGTCGTCCCTCAGTAAGATATCTGGAGCTGCATAGTTCCCGTTTAGAACTTTTGTAACTGTTTAGAGAGGTTAATTTCGCCTGTTTCTTAATTCGTTAGTTTGATTGTGAATACGATTGAGAGAGATATCTATTCTTGTCCACTTTGAAGTGTATTTCACGGAGGAGCGAAAATTAGAAAAAAACAAACAATAAAATACGATGTTACAGTAAAGTACTTCTACAACTTCGCTCACTCGGTGGTTTATTCGGTGGTTATCGCGCCTGACCAGGGATTACCTCACCATAACCACCTCGGGACATGGCATTAGCCCTTTATTATCTCCAGTTCGCACATCTGATCGCGTCCTAGAAGAATATGACTTTCCCGAGTTTGTAGGCAATCTCGCCGACCGAATCCCGACCAACGAACAACGGATGAAGTTACTCACGACTAACTACCGACCATGGTCTGGAGAAGGTCGGGAAGCCATGACAGGGCCTTTTGTCAAAAATGGCGGGATATTAACTTGGGGTCACGCGGAAGGATGGTTGAAAGTTGTTGGGATGACACCGTGACAGGATGTACTGTGACCTCCCGACCCCTCTTAAAATTTAAAGGATGTTGCGAAATGAGGTCATTTCTTGCATGTGACCCCAGTGTGTATTTACATTTGTAACTTTATGCTCGCTATACAACGTGTTGTACATTGCCAAACTTTTCAAACACATTAGCAAGGCATAATACTATGCCTCAAAATCCTTGTGGAACTCTTATGTATAAGTAAGACTCCATGATCATACATACTGAATGTATTACATATATTTCAACCAGTGTTATACGGCAATGTCACTAGTATGGTACGTTACTAGCGTTGACTGTACAAATCAGTTTGCGTGTATCTGAAAATGTTCTAATGTTGTAAGCTAACTTAGCAACTGTAGGCTAAAGAAATGCCACACTACCATGAACCCCGTGTCGTGGCAGATCGTGTGGCGCAAGCGGTAGAGTTCGGCTCAGACCGAAGAGGTCCCGGGTTCGGATCCTGCCCGATAGGAAATCCGAATCTTGTGCCCTTGGGAAAGACATTTTACACGAATTTCCTCACTTCCCCCAGGTGTAAATGAGTTCCTAGATTCGGTTAGGTTACGTTCGGTCTTACACAGCTTGTACTTCAATGTACATGTACAAAACTGGTGTGTTAAACCAGTGTGTTGCACTGGCCTATAAAGGCGGTTTACCGGTTATGCGAAACAAACTCACCCAAAGCTAGCGCAGTTGTCGCCCAAACGTAGATGACCATGACAGTACCGGGCGTTTTCCACATCATGTTGGGCTTGTCGTGGTCACCAAAAATGATTCTGGTTTGGTTTAAGAAAGTGGATACTAGTATATCAAAAGCCTCTACAAAACGGAAGTAGTGGGCATGTGACGCCCATGGGAAGGTACCAATATGAAGATGGGTGTTTTTTTTTTTTGGAAAGTGGGGTGTTACTTGGGCAATATACTGCTTTAAAAATTTGCTTCAAAAATTTTACATTTCACAACCAGCATGGTTTTCATTTTACCATACAAACCAAACAAACAAAAATCAGATTTTGTTTATTGAATGTACTTATGTTTATTACTAAAAAAACACAAATGTATATTGACAGGGGAATTTTAATCACTTTTATTCTTACTTATACATTTGTACTTCTTTTCTCTCTTCCCAAACGACAGGAAATCGACTTGGGTAATATTCTGGAAATAACATAATTTGGAATAACTCTACCACTGCCATACATTACCAGTACGGGCTCTGAAATACTGAATTTATAAGAATTAATCTACAATACATAATCTACATGCCCTGACTCTGTATGGTTCCGAATAGACGCATTTCTCACTAAATCTGGTCTTGAAATATTCAAATCTGAGTTGGTATCACTTTTTAGCTTTTCAGTAAATCATTTTTCTTCTTTACATCTGCATTTTATGACGTGACAAAGATCTATCCAAATACTGTACTGCATTGTCATTCAGAAAATACCATTTTCCCCACAAAACCTTTAACTTCTACCTCCTACATGATACTACATTGAACTGCAGGGCAAGTAAAAGCAACAAAAAGACTTTGATTATGAAACAAGTTTGAACTGCAATATCCAACACAAGAAATTTTCGACTGTACAACTCCAGTCTTTGTCAAGGAATGAGCAATCCATTGCTTCCGTGACGTCACGCAGATAACACACGTGACTCCAAGACATCAGGGCAATAATTCACAACCATCCCTCAACATAGACGGGGGCGCCACAGACTTTCTGCAACCTATGATCCACTGCTCACAGAGTCACATGTGTTTTCTGCGTGACGTCACGGAAGCGGTGGATTGCTCATTCCTCGACAAAGACTGGAGTTGTACAGTCAAAAATTTGGGTGAGTCCAATTTCTTGTGTTAAACATTACAGTTAAACTTGTTTCATAATGACTTCTACCAACACAGATGAACTTTCAAGATACAAAGACTTTGATACATAGGTTGAGCTCTTTCATCTGGATATCTTCATTATAGAAACTGTCTGTCATAATTGGACACAGTGTCACTACACAAGTACATGTACTTCTTTTGTGATATACATTGTAATTTTGACACAATCCCTACAGCATGTTTGCACATCACAGCCCTATCATTACATAATAATTTCTTTTGTGATACACATTGTAATTTGACCCAGGGCTCGAAATTCATTTTTGGGAATAGGTGCACTGGTGCACCCAACCTAAAAAAATTGGGTGAACAAAAAAGTGTTTGGGTGCGCCATATAAAATAAGTAAAATATCAGCAAGAACAAAATGATGTTTCGTTTCTTATGAAAAGTACTACATGTATAACAATGATTTTATTATTTTTCTAACACTTAAATGTTAAGAATATGCTGTAAACTACAATTCTTTAACATCTAATTTTAGGGCACACCAATTGAATTTCTTGGTTAACAGATTTTTCTAGAAAAATAATAGAGCAGGTGGGCAAAAAAAAACAGGCCTAGGCATCCTATTGTGGCCCAAAATGGTACTAGTATATACTACAGACGCCATGAAGTCAACACAACGGGCTAGTTCAAAACTTAAACAATGAATTTTGAGCTTTTAAAGAAGCCGTTCATTAAAAGATGGAATAACTGTAACAACTAGGAAGAAAGGGACTGTTTTCAACTGTTCAGGGCAAAATATGAGCATTTTGCAGTTGAATCTGAACCAGAATCTTTTTTTTTCAAATCAGAACAAAATGAAGGGGGCAAATCCGTTAACCAAGAAATTAAATTGGTGTGGCCTTATGTAAACATATGAAAATATTTGGGTGCACCAGTATGGCCACAGAAAAAAAATTGGGTGCACAGCTGCAAATTTGGGTGCACATGCACCCAGTATTTCGAGCCCTGCACTAAAACAAGTACATAATGACTTTCTTGTAGATGTACATGATTACTTCTCCTTTTTCTCAGTAAGTAGACTGCTGTGTATGGACTTGACTTCCTGTGTGAACAGGTCCATGAGTAGCGTGCCCTCCTCATCGAACCACGAGGCCACAGACTTCACCACGGACGCCTCTCGTGATTGGTTGGTCTGGCCGTCGTGGTAGGATATGTGTAGCGTGTACATGTCATCAAACCTGGGGGGAGTTAGAAGAAAAGTTTTAGTCCAAAGGATTATGAAAACTGTAAAATTTTAAAATCTTCACGGCAGCCTTAGTTTTGCTGTGCCTCTCCACCACAAAATCATGACTCTGGTCTCTGGGAATATGTATTTAACAGTAAAGAATGCAAATGGCAAAAGAATGAACTAAAAATTGAGGGTAGGGCCCTATGTTTCCTTCAATGTGTGATGTCACAATGCAGTTTGTATGTGTGCTCTACATACATGTACAAAACTGATGTGTTTTGCCACATGAAATGGTTTACTGGTTACATGATACAAAAATAAAATGAGGGAACAAAAACACTAATACATAAAATGCCTGCTTAGGGCACACACATATACACACAGACCAAGACCATGATTCATGAACAATTTTTTTATTTTATTTTATGACGATTTACCACATTTGTGGAAGGATTGACATAACAGGTGACTATCACCTCTTCAAAGATGTCAACCCCGAGACCAGACTGTAAGGCTTGAACCACTCACACCGGGAAGGTCCCCTACTCTTTTCGATAAGTGCGGTGGGTTCTTTAACGTGCGTGGGGTGTGGCTCTCCCAAACACGGGACCTTCATTTAACTTCCTATCCGAGGGACGTCCCTAGCCGAAGCTAGGTACTCATTTACACCTGAGTGAAGTGAGGAAAGTCGTGTAAAGTGCCTTTCCCAAGGGCACAAGATCGGTGACATGGGCAGGGTTCGAACCCACGACCTCTCGGGTGTGAGCCGAACGCGCTACCGACTGCGCCACACGACCCCACAATACCTCTATTTTTCATGGAGATGAAAAGAGAAACAACCGTGGGGTTGTGTGGCGGAACAGTAGAGTTTTCAGCTCTGACCCAAGAGGTTCCAGGTTCGAATCCTGCCCAATTCCACTGATCTTGTGCCCTTGGGAAAAGCACTTTACACAACTTTCCTCACTTCACTCAGGTGAAAATGAGTACCTAGCTTCAGTAAGGGATGTCCCTCGGATAGGACGTTAAATGGAGGTCCCGTGTTTGGGAGAGCCACACCCAATGGACGTTAAAGAACCCACCGCACGTATCGAAAAGAGTAGGTGAGACAGAGTGTGAGTGGTTCAAACCTTACAGTCTGGTCTTATGCAGCTTGTACAATGTACTTACATGTACAAAACTGGTGTGTTACGCCTATAAAAGCGGTTTACCGGTTATGCCAAACAAACAAACAAACAAAACAAACCCCTAACCCACCTCCTGAGAGAGGAGCTGACTGTCCAGATGTTGTCTGGGTCCACCCCTGCCTGGTCCTTCTGATGGGCCACCAGGATCACATTCTTCTCCTTGAATGTCGTGTAGACAGTCAGAACACCCATCAGCACAAAGTAGGTGAGGCCGTGGTTAAAGAACTGCATGCATTTCAAATGACTAGAGTCTAAGCTTAAGGGTATTTATGTATCACTACTAGCAAAAGATCCAATGAGATTTCTGAGCAGCAAAACTTTCTGAATAAGGATATCTTTGTGATATTGACATATACTGCTTCACATTAGCACATTTGAATCAGTATATCACGTACTTTGGGCATTTAAAACTGCAGAAACAAGCCCCAAGATGAGTCCTTTATCTTATGGGTATACCCGAAAAAAATCACCAAAGGGCCCTTACAGTAACCATTTTCCATCAAAAATTTGGGTATTTTTGCTTCATGAGGGTCAATATACACTGGGATATAGTGCGGTATGTAGATACATATGTATGTGACAGGAGTATTATTGACTTTGAAAAATCGGGTTTCCAAGCCCTAAAAACTGCATTGGATGCCTTAAGAACATAGACATCAAAATGGTGCGCATCTCCACCTAGATCTATGAAGAACATTTTTTCCTAGGCATTAGACAAAAACCATGGAGATTTCGATTCTACTTTGAAAGTCCCTCTAACTCAAGTACATTGTGAGGACATACATATTAACACAAAGCACCCTTAAGCATTTTTCTCTGCCCTTATAAAGTGTTTTACCCAACTTTCTCTGTGTAGAAATATCATAATAGATGTAGTTGTGAGGAAAAATAGGGCATCAAAAGGATATGAAATGACACACAATATCAGGACAGGTCGCGAGTCCGGGAATGGTCGCAGATAATCGTACACCAGGGCGGCCAGCGCAAACATCACCGACACCGTGCAGATGAGAAGTCGCGTGTCCATCAGCACGAAATTCTCCACGTAGCCGTACCCACAATCCTTGTCTGTCAGGATCTGTAGTGGTACAGTGAATTTTGGAAGGAGAATTCAGCGAGTTTTGCTATTGTAATAGTAATAATCACATTGTTTCAACCTGAAGAAAAAGCTCGTTCAATTTGAATCATGTTATAATCTATCTCATACCTTCTTGGCCACATCATCCAAGGCGTTCTTAACTGCACTGCCGTCCCACTTGTCCACCTTGATAGGTTTTTCGTCTGCCCCAAACTGAATAAAACACATCAAAATTATCTTACTATTTATTCCGCCTATAATTATTAATAGGGTTCATGTTAATGAAATTTCAGCATCTTCTACTATAGCATAGAAAATTGACATAGTTAACTAAGATTAAAACTTGAATTGAGTTCGTACAAAATTGTATAACAGTTGTATGTTCAGAAGTACAGGTGGCTAGGAGAAACAGCTTCCATATGGTGAAGAATTTGTTTTCGTCAAGTTCTTCTAAGAGCTCTGTGACTGCTAGTAGTGTATTACTTCTACCTTTTTATTTCTGCATCACAATTTCCTTATTAAATCCATGAAAGGCACTTAATTCTGCAAATAAATTTTCTAGTTCTTGTAGGAGGTGATTTTTTTCATCCATAATTTTCCACACATGGTGTTTGTTGCTGCTAACATGTGACAACGAAAAACCATCTTTTTCACATCAAGTATACCTCTGAAAAACATAAATCTGTATTGCGTACCTCCTGATTGAACTTCTGTATCAATAGCAATGTTTTATGATGTGAAATGATGTACGAAAAGAGGAGGAAATGGAAAAGTTACCGGCAGAGCTGCTTTCTTTTTATCACCGTCGGCCATGATGCTTCTTGAAGTGACGTGTCTTCTCGCTGCGTCTCGCGATATCTGAGTAAACCACTTTGCTCCAAGGGGACCAAAAAATGATTTTTAAAATTCCCAAATTTCAAATCTACCAGAAAGAGACATGCAAAATTCGATATTAAAATCTTTTTACTATTAATTTTTCTGTGTTTATTACACATTGTCTATTTAAAAGAGTCAATAAATATATTTTCATATATTTATCAAAATCACCCCTTATTTTTAATGGAATAGTTAACTTGTTGGTCAAAGGTGAATCATCCGGGAACTCTTGCATAGTTTCTAGAGGAAAGTTTGAAACAGTTGGGCAGGTAAGTTATGGTGATTTTGATGTATTTTTCATGATATTAAATTGCTTTACACATTAATTTGGTATTTTTAGGTATCCTCGTATATTCTACAAGTATTTGTTAGGGCTGAAAGTTGGAGTTATGCAGTTGATCCTGCAATTACTTGAAGAAAAGCCGGTTCAAAACTGTCCGATTTTGTCTTAGCAACGTTCCAAATATAAGGCTACAGCACGTAAATTTTTATGGATGACATCCTCCGCAGATTGCAAATCTAATGCGAGTGGGTGAAAAAAAACAAGGCGGGCCGAAAAAACAGAATTCCTACCTTTTAAAATTTTGACTCAATCATTGTACAAATGGTTTTCATTCAGTAGGAGCATCACAACACAGCCAGCATCACATATCACTGCATCAGAGTAAGAAACAAAACATTAAATCAGAGCCTTTTCTTGTCTTCTCTCTTCATAGTTATCTGCCATCCACCTTCCGGCATGGCAACAGACATCTTTGCCCATTTTCAGCATGTTGACCACTGTCAGAGAGCAACAAAATTTCTTGTTGTTTTTTTCCAAAATCAGGCGAAAATTAATGCGCACGCTGATGTCATCCATAAAAATTACTTACTGTGGCCTTAGAAAAGACCATGTCTTTTATTATTAATATTATTTTGCTACAGAATCTAATCGACTGCCAAGATGAGTGAGCAACTCAAGTTCATCGTAGAGACCCTGAACAAGGAACCGTTCAAGAGGAACTATAACCTGATCAGCTTCGATGCTCTGGAGCCGCTGCAACTCTTACAAGTGCTCAACGATGTGTTCGCAGAAATTGACTCACGAGTAAGTTCATTACAATTTACACTACCAAAAATGACATTTCTCGCATTCTTGTTTTTTCTTACAGTCAGAAAATATTTGTTCCCTGAAGCAAATTTTTCTGTATTCAAGAACGAAATTCTGTCCACGAATTAAGTAATTTTTTCTTGATAAACTTTTTCTGGCAGTAAGAATATTTTTCTTATAGGTTTCTATATAAGTTATTGTTGGTTACTTCTAGAATCTTATTCTTACAGTAAGATTATTTCTATACATGTTCGTGATGCAGACAATTGTTCTTATACAAAGACTGCAGTTATATACAGTACTAATTTGTAGTACTGTAAAAGTTAGTCATGTTAAGTTGATCATGATCGTACGGTGATATGTATAGTTGACTCAAATTCTTGAGCAAGAACTTGCTAAAATACCATTTTTGATGATTTTAGGTCAAAAGATCAACATTATTCTTAGTCTTAGCCTCAATTTTGACATTGCAGATATTATATATAACAAAAAAATGTAACGTTAATGTTAAAAGATGACAAGATAGGCATGGATGTAAAGATATGTGCATGTTTGTTGAACATCCACATATAGTGATGATATACTATTATAGTATTAATTGTTGAATGTCGTTTTGTGTATCGAACTTCTAGATCCTCCTTATATAAGTTTTATTAGAAAGGTTAGAAATCATTTGGTAAGTTGCCTTGGCAAGAATGTTTGTGTATTCTAAATTCTAAGTGTCTTGTAGAACTGAACTTGTAGTAACTTACTCTGAGTACTTAGTACCTTGTATGATTCCAATCATTTCACTGTAGATGACTCTTTACTTGCTTTCTTGCACCAAACACATTTCCCTTGTTGCTAGCACGTTGGCAGAACGTACGTATACTCCACCTGCGCAAAACCCACAATGTATTGTGCTTCAGCAGAAGTTGAGATACGGCTCATATAAGGTCGTATTTGCATATATACTAGTAGAAGATTCACATCCCATCTGTAGTTTCTAAATGACATTATATCAGATAAGATATTGTATTGTTTAAAGAAAATGATCATATGGCTTTATCGCAAAACGTATATATACGCCAACGCTCGTAACCTGTGTAACAATTTTAATTTAGATGTGATTCAGTTAGAGACATTTTACGTTTGTAAGTTGTATGTAATTCAAGGTGTCAACTAAAAAAAACCATTCATATAGATATTTTCTGCAATAGCCAAGATCCTAATGCAATGGTGACCCACAAAAACTGCGAAAAATCAGGGTTTGCGCAGGTGCATTACGTTCTGTTTACGTGTTCTTGTTGCTGTACTTACAACTGTACTGTATATCACCTGCACCCTGTACTGTACTGTACTGCTGCCTTCCTGCTCACAGAGTGCACAAACCACCCCGTCTACTCCTGGATCCCCCAGTACTAAAGTCAAAGATCGTGTGAGTCTCCAGCTTAACTAGCCTAGTGTTCATCCTATTCTAGCTATGTTCACTCCTTTGATCACTTCACTGTACGATAGTAGTAGTCTAACTCACTCTGACAGAAAAACAATCTAGACTTCTATCATGAAAGTTCATCTGTGTTGGTAGTTACATGTTTAAAGTTAAAACTTTTGATCCAACACAAAGAAATCTCTCACCTAGGGCTTTCAACCAGTCACTCTGGTCTTCCTCAGTAGACTGACCCAGTGAAGCTTGTCACATGGCTTCTTTGAAGTGTGACGTCAACACTGGGTCAAAGGTATCTGGTAGATGATGTCGGCCCAGTGTTGACGTCACACTTCAAAGATGCACATGTGACAAGCTTCACTGGGTCAGTCTACTGAGGAAGACCAGAGTGACTGGTCGAAAGCTCTAGGTGAGAGATTTCTTTGTGTTGGATCAAAAGTTTTAACTTTAAACAAATCTAGAGTTCTGATTTGTTACAATTCCTTTTTCATGTGGCGTAATGGTAGGGAATTTGGCCTGGAAAACATGGCCTTGGGAAAGGCATTTTACACAATTTTTCCCCAACATGCCAGTAATTGCTGATTTCTCGGCTCATGGGTTTTATCGGAAGAAGAAAAGGTTCAAACAGGTAGTTGACCCAAAGCATACCACTTCTGAGAAAAAAAAACTGAAAAAAATGCAAATGGCTCTCAGTGGTGACACAGTCAAAGCAGTGAACAAGAGTTAGAATAGAATGGATTTCTGGCTACTACGGTCACTCAGGATTTGGAAAAATTTTTTTGCAGTCCCAGATTCTTAAAGCATTTCTGAAATATATTGGAATTAGGTTTAAGAAATCCGTATTTTTATGCGATTTTAAGTTATTTGTCTTGTGATTAAAATGAGATAATTGTTTGTGACATAACTTAGCCGGGAAGTTATGTTAAAATGCACTTAAAAAGTAGACAATTTTAGGTCGCGGTTTTAGTGATTTTTTGTCGGAAAATTGATTTTAAAATTGCATAGTTGTTGTAAGGGAATATAAAATTTTTATATGAATGATAGATGAGATTAGATTTCAGCGGCACTTTAAGAGCTCGGCTTGTTCAACATTTTCCCTCTTGGCTAACCCACCAAACATCTATATTCTCTGCCTGAAAGTTAAAAACTCTATCCTCCTCGGTGGCCCAATACTACAATATTTATGGAAGACAACTGTTGTTTAAACTTTTTTCTTTTCTGTAAAACTGTAACATGTTAGAAAGTAGGGTGTCCCTGAAATTTGAAAAAGTAATCAACTGTTTTCCAAATCTACAGTGACCAATAAATTTCTTGAATGTTGTAATTCTGAATTGTCATATGATTACATGTATATGTTATTTGGTATATGTAATGTTATTTGGTATATGTATTTTATCAGTGTATTTAGTGCATGTATATGATAGATCTTGTATGTTTGGACAAACAGAACAAGCTGGACATTCGCGAGGAAGCAGCAGACCAAACAGCCATAAGGATGCTGGGGATCTTAAAGATTCTCAAGTACAAACCCAAGACTGACAACACGTGAGTTACATGTATTTCTTAAGAAAACAGTAACTACTAAGTACATACTATTACTTGAGACGAGACCTTAACATAACAAAACATATTTGAAAACTTACAGTCAAAACATATTAACAACTTACACAGCTATACTATGTTGTGAAGTCTATTTGTAGGCAAACATTACAGTTAGTAATTTTCCCAGAATTACAGTAATGCAATATTTTATAGTGGTCACACACAAGCAAATACTTTTTGGATCCTCCCCAGAAGCATTGCCAAAAAAAGGTGCACATGGTGAAATTAAGAATTAAAAAGAAACTAGAAAGGTAAAATTTGCAAAGCAAATGCATTGTTTACCTTTGCATATTGTCTGCTCTGTAAATTCTTAAAAACATTCATATACATGGTCAGACTGGAGTCTAAATCCCTCCTGCTATAAAATTGCAACATGATGTAACCCAACACCCGGAGTTACCATGGTGACAGACGTTTGGTTCAGGTCATTGACCTTATTGGTTTGGAGAAGAAGAAGAGGAAACAAAGCAAAAACAATATATTAAAATTTTCCTTGGGTAAACATTGTGGTTTTTTTTTTTTTTTTTTGCAGGAGTGAATTTCGTCAGGGTCTGGTTATGGGTGACAAGCCCACAGTGTACCATATCTTAGAATGGTTGCTACAGCGAGTGCCGGACTTGAAGAAACGTGCGTATCTTGCACGCTTCCTCGTCAAGATAGAGGTGCCGCCGGACTTCCTGCAAGACGATGCCGTTGCAGACTGTAACCAACAGGTAGGGGGAGCTTTTGATACATGCTTGTTCTGATAATTACCTTCGCCAAGAAGGTTATGTTTTCCATAGCGTTTGTATGTGTGTGGTTGTGCGTGTACATGTATGTAGTTTAGCACCATAACTAAAGAAGCTTTTGATAGATTGTCGTGAAAGTTGGTAGGTGTTGATGAGACCTAGAAATGATTAGATGTTGGCCCCCCTGGCGGCTTTCCTAGGTACTGCAACAGAATTTCCGGTTTTGATATATCACGATCTGAACATGCTAGTTTCTTTTGTGGTTACAAATTTATCATTGTACACATACTTTTCATCATGCTGCAACAACATGTGTGGTTGGTTACATTGTGTATATTTGACTGTATTCAACAAAAGTTTGACCAAAGTCATGGGTGGCCTGATATAGTGACAGAAAGCCAGTTACTGAGATGCAGAAAAACTGTGTGTGTGTGTGTGTATGTGTGTATGTGTGTACGGAAAAGTATTAAGTCAGTAAAGAGACCTTTTTTTTTAAACCACACATGTACACGTATTAACAGGACTGGTGTTTTTTTTAACCTGCATTGTTAAATCTTTGTTGTTTTAGTATGAAGAGTTGGTGGAACAGTTTAAGGAACTGCACAAGGAGTTTACAGAGCTGCAGAAGTCTGGATTTTCAACCTCAGACATCAAGAAGGTTTGTGAAGCAGTACATAGTCTTCTGATGGATTTGTGATACTGCAGTTCAAGGCTGAATCAACAGGGGGCATCAATGCTGCTCTCAGCATAACTCTTTATCGTCACAGTTATAAAACTCTACGAAATAAAATTTTTCATGTACTGTAGGGCTGTAGATCATTTTATTACTTGCAACAAGCTTGTTTAGTATAGAAATTATATTATTCTACGATCTTTGAAGTTGACAATTTTATGTCGAGGCCAAAATCCTTTATCCTGTGTCCCCATATTTGGACAAACATTAATTATGCATGCGATGACATCATTCCCAGGACATCCAATCAATGGAGGAGGAGAAGGAGCAGGTTGTTCGCAGGATCGAGCGACTGAAGAAGAAGGTGGAGTCTGTACCGAACTTCGACCGGATGATGGACACCGCCCGCAAGCTGCGTCAGGAGAAGGAGCGCGAACTGTCCCTGGCCAATCAGAAACAAGAACAGAAGAACCAGGTGGGGTGTAAACATTTGTAGTTGACCAATCAGAAACAAGAACAGATGAATCAGGTGGGATTTGAACATTTGTGTAGCGTGCGTAGTTCAGTGGTTAGCGATCCTGCCTCTGGACTAAGAGGTTTGGAGTTCGAATCCCGGCTGTTGTCACTCACCCGACTTGCACGCTACTGTTTAGGGTCGCAGTTCTTAGAACGGGACGTTAAGCCGTGGTCCTCTATTCATTGTGCTTGTTGAAAAGAGCTAGGGGGATTTCCCCGGTACAATGAACCTGTAAATACTGAACATAGCATCTGTCTTCTCTGTCACGACCAGTGGGAGATTAGCTCTTCAATGAGCTAAACTGGTTTGAAATCACTTTAATTCACTTTTTACAGCCAAATGTTGTACTTCAGTAAGCATGGCTCGGTAGCCTGGAATCCATCAGTGAATGCTTTGTCTCCGCTCCGTTCCTCCGCTCTGCCTTCAGAAAGGAACGGAGCGAAGACAAAGCGTTCACGGATGGATTCCAGGCTAATTAATGGCTCGGAGAAGAGCTGATGGAATTCAAAACTGCCAAATGTTAATTAATTACGATTGAACTAATAGTAATGCTACCGGACCTGTACTAATATATGTAACTAGATATAATATTATATAACTAGATTTTAGTAATACTACCTGTATTTCTCCCATCCTAGTTGATGCATGCAGACCAGCGATATCAGCGTGCCATGAACCAACTTAAAGACCTGCAGAGGGCTGCTAAAGGGGCCTCAGCTGAAGGTAACGATATGACAACCATGCTCCTAGTGTACTAATTCATAATTATGCATGAGTCAGAGAGTCTTATAGTCTTTAATAGAGAAACATGTACAATGTACATTGTTAATATGACTGTTTTTGTGTCCCACAACCTAAGCCTTGATTGAAAAGCTACAGGAGGAAAATAATGTCAACACGTACCTGGGACAGGAGAAACTACCAAAGGTATGAAACAGTGTATTTTATTCCTGCATTTATGATATTTTCATATAGGTTGTTCATGTGTGTTTATTTTAAGCTGCTGCATGGTTAATGCTATATGTCTGGCATATATGGCATGCTACATTGTGTTTCTATTGAAATATGAATCAGAATATTATCAACCATGTTATTACAAAAAATGCTTGTATTTTACTACCATCTTTATCAAATTTTGAATGTGCACATTGTTTTTGTTTTGTTTAGGAAATAGAAGCCAAGAGAAAAGTTGTATCAGACCTACAGAAGGTGGTTCTAGAACCAGCTATGGGACAGTCTGACTTGGATGAACTCCACACAAAGGTATAATTATGTAATCTGTCACTGTAGTCAACACTGCTTGAAAGACATATACATGTATACTACACAGTCATTTCCTTAAACTCTTTACATGTACATTGTAGTCGAAGGACATCATACAGATAGAAATTTTGACAAATCTTAACATTTTTTTACAGATATCAAGCTTGAATAACTACTCTGGACATGTGCAGCTTTCTTTTTACCTCAGTCTACATGTTTTACATAGCACGTCGGCAGAACGTACTGCGCCTGCGCAGAACCCTGGATTTTCGCGTTTTTAGTTGGATTTTTGGTCAACGTTGCATCAGAATTTTCACTGTTGCAGAGGATATCTTTTCTGACACAACATTTGGAAACTACTGTCGAAATGCTAACCTTATATGAGCGAATACGACCTTATATGAGACATTCTGCCGAAGTGCTATGTACAATACATTACGGGTTTCGCGCAGGTGCAGTACGTTCTGCCAACGTGCTGTTTTACATGAGTAAAATTTGACAATGAAACTCACAGTACACACATGTATGATTGTACATTGTACATGTAAGTAGGTAGAGTGCTTTTATGAACTTTGTATTTTTTTCACAGATCAAGGATACGAATGCAGAGATTAACCAGTTAATTGAGAAGAGGATGATGCGGAATGATCCGATTGATGACAAACTGTCCATCTTCAAACAACAGGTTATTATTATTCTGCATTATTTAAATATCATGTTCAATATACATGTTTCCAATGGGAAATGTTGTCTATTTTTGGCAACACCTCTGGAGTGGAGGCATATATTTCTTGTAGTATCACACTGTTGTGATGCCTACTTTACCAACTATTACTTTAAATTTGTATTGCAACATGCTCTTTTAAGTGTTCAAGTGCCTAGTACACTTTCTTTTTGTAACTAACAGCTATTCTTTTTTGGCGACACCTCTGGAGTGGAGGCATTTCTTGTACTTTCCGGCTTAGTGGTACTGTTGTGGTGCCTACTTTACCACTTTTTCTTTTTGAATTGCAACATAAGTGTTCACCTACCTTTTACACATTCTTTTTGTAAGTAACAGCACAAGAACAGTATCAAAACTGTTTTAGCAGGAAAAATATATTTTTGCTTGCTCAAACAAACGATTGCTGTATTTTATTAAAGCGACAGCAAGAAATTTTAGTTATTTTAGAGAGTTACAAACTCTTGTTTGTCAATTTCTGGTAGGCCTCCATCATTGCGAAGAAGAAGATTCAGGCCGCGGACGAAATCCAGAGTACGAAAGACGAGCTGGCCGCTACGGAACAGGAGCTGAGCGAGAAACGACAGATGGCGCGGGAACTGGAGGGAGGGGAGGTGTTGAAAGGAGATGAGGTAAGGTCTAGGACACTAAATGTTGTGTTTTCTGTTTCAGTTCTGAAAAAATTAGGGTCGGTATGTAGGGATTATCTTTTTTTTTCTTAGACTTTGGCAATCTCTAGCGATTGAACTTAAGCAATTATTTTCTTATGATATATTTTAACAAAGTAAAACTTGCATGAGGACACTTAAATTTACAACGTTTTATCACTCACATGTTGTGGAGTCGTGTGGCGTAGCGGCAGCGTGTTCAGCTCAGACCCAAGAGGTCCTGGCATGGGTTCGAATCCTGCCCGATGTCACCGATCTTGTGCCCTTGGGAAAGGCACCTTTAAGTGTTAAAACACGACTTTCCTCACTTCACTCAGGTGTAAATGAGTACCTAGCTTCGGTTAGGGATGTCCCTCGGATAGGATGTTAAATGGAGGTCCTGTGTTTGGGGAGAGCCACACCCCACGCACGTTAAAGGAGTAGGGGACCTTCCTGGTGTGGGTGGTTCAAATCTTGAAGTCTGGTCTCAAGTTTGGCATCTTGAAGAGGTGATAGTCATTTGTTATGTTAATCCTTCCACGAATGTGGTAAATCTTCATAAATATGTACCTTGTTCTCTTTTGCAGTTCAAGCGTTACGTGAACAAGTTGCGTGGAAAGAGTACCGTGTACAAGAAGAAACGGCAGGAGCTGGCAGAACTTCGGGCGGAGTACGGCGTTCTCTCTCGTACCGAGGAGATCCTGAGACAACGGGACGATAATGCTCAACGTGCACTGGTTAGCGCCAATCTTCTTTCTTGATACCATACGATTTAGAAAAAGGGAATTTTTTAACGTGAAATCTAAGCTCTACACTTAGTAACTGTGAGCCATTATGTTTGTTGTACAGTGTTTCTCTATTTTAGTCATTTTGTCAAACCTTTTGTGTCAGTTTGTCACCATAAGTTGGTTGCGTTTTTTTTTGTGTGTGTCACTTTTTGAAATAGCTGAACAAGAGAGATTTTCACAAAATTTCACGAAGATAACCAGGTATCTTTTCCATAAATACAGTAACAGGCACATTTTTATGCTTATTGAAATACAAGTATTTGAGCACTTTATTATGTTTACTGAAGGAAAACATTGTTTTTGCTCCGTTTCCTCTTCTTCTTCTCCAAACAAATAAGGTCCATGACCTGAACCAGACGTCTGTCACCATGGTAACTAGTGTTGGGTTACATCATGTTGCAATTCTATAGCAGGAGGGATTTAGACTCCTGTCTGACCATATATATGAATGTGTTTAATTTGAGTATGAATAATCAACAGAGCAGAGTCTGACCATATGCGAAAATAAACATTATGTATTTGCTTTGCAAATGTTATATTTAATTACCTTTCTTGTTTTCATGATAAAAAAATTATATATTTATGTGTTTGTAGGAAGGACTGGAGGCTAAGAAGGGCGTGTCTGGTTACCATGACACCCAGGAGGAGCTGGAGAAGGTGTCCACGATAAAAAGCGAACTAGACGAGATGAAGGGAAAAACACTGGACGACATCTCCGACATGGTCTGTTTGTTTGTTTGTTTGTTTGTTTGTGTGTTTGTTTGTTTGTTTACTTCTTAATCTTGCTTTGAATTTTAAGTTTACCATTTCTAATCTTTCATATACATGTACACTAGTATGAATACATGAAAACCATAATATATTAACTGTATCTGTGTAGCCAGTATAACCGCCCTTCTGTGTAACACACCAGCTTCGCAGGCATACGGCACGGCGGCAGCTGGCTACATTACACCCATCAACTTGTTACACATAATCCTTGAAATCTAACTCTAAACATTGTTATCAGCTACCCAATGATAATGCCCGTACTGTACTGGTGACAGCGAGTTCTCTCTAGCCAAGAATGAGTTTTTGAACACCTCAATCCTTGGTTGATAACTCTGTTACTTGAAGGCATTACTATGTCTTGTTCTTTTTGAGCTGGAATGAGGTACTTACTTGCATGTATACATAACATTAACATCTTTTAAGCAGAATTTAACAGAAGTGCCTTTTATTTCAGGTTTTGAAGCTGACGTCGACTATATCAGAGAAGAAGTCAGCCCTCGCTCCTGTTATCAAAGAACTCAGGCCCATGAGACAGAAATGTCAGGTGGGGTCATCTTACATTTTTTAATTTTTTGGCAACACCTCGGAAATGGACCATCAAGGATATCACCTTGTATTACACTTTGGAAGTCCATTGAAAGTTGTTATGTTGCTTTGTACTTGCAGGAAATGTCCCTGGTTTACGAAGAGAAGAAAGCACAGTACGACAACCGGGCAGCAGGGTATGAGACGGACAGATCCAAACTGGAACAGGTACTTTTGCATATACATGTATCTGTATAATCGACCAGTATTAGTGCCCTCTGGCATATCATGCTGGTATTGCAGCCATGCATGTTTCCATGGTTTTGGTTAGAGTTGGGGCTCAGAATAGGGACGGGGTTGGAGTAGGATTTTATGCAAAATCAACCTCTTCAAGGCTTTTATCAATGATTCTACAAATTCTTTCAGTGACTGTGAGAACTTCATGATTTTGACATCAAATGCTAACGCAGTGCTGTTGTTTTTGTTTGTTTTTTTTTCATGTAGGAAGTCCGAACTTACCGAGAAGAATGTGGTGCAGAAGAGAGCCGCTACCACTACCTACAGAGTATGAAAAAGGTTGGAAACACCTCCTGTACTTCTCACCAATGGAAATATCATACATTATTATCATGCATACCATTTTTTGTTCACATATTTTTATTGAGTATAAGGCAAAAAGCACAAGTTGCTTATATAACACCTTCTACTCAAAAACATAAAACAAGAGTAAAACACATTGACAGAATACATGCATAATTACAAGGTGGGTAAAAGAAAAATAAATACAGACAAGTTGGTGATCTATGATAATTACGTGCAGTAAATGAAGTTTTGAACTACGTCATGTCATTTACCATGCTACCATTCGACGTACCATGGTCATAGAAACAATAGCTGGTAGCATTTTCTCACACTTTCCCCTTTTATCATATTGCCTTCTTAGCTTAGCACATAAGTGCTTTATACCATATAAAAGATGTTGAAAAATTTGGCGGAAAACCGCACCTCTGCTTGAAGATCATGACCGTATGACCTTTGCCCTTTGTCCCCAGGTGGTGGATGCCCAGCTGGCGCGAGCCCAGGAGGAGATGAAACTGTACCTGTCCACAGACCCGCAGGACAAGAAGAAAGCCTGCAGGTACGTACATGGCTAGTTCACAGTTTGAAGTGTACTTGTTTGGTGTGTAAAGTTCTTCTTTAATTCAGACCCCTGGCCCATTTACATACATACAATAACAGATTAAAAAGAGATGAAGACATGGCAACAAACACAAAGAAAATCAATCAATACCAAAAAATAAAAGTACGTTTTAAAAACCAGGTTGACATAATGTCTCCAGAAGGTGCTAAGATTGTAGCCATGTGTGGCCCAAGGGCTATTGAACTGGAGATGGGTGCCGCCCTATGCACCACCTGGTGTGGGAAGAACTTAAATGTGACCAAGTCTAAACTATGTATCAGATAAATATGTGGTTTATGGAATTCTGCTTCTTTTTACAGGGAACAGTACACTAGGAAGATCCAGGAACAAGAAAATCTTGGAAAGGTAAGCTTAGGGAGGAAAAGTTTAACATTAATGAATTTATACAGTCTTAAAAAGTCTCTAGCCAACTGGATGAAAGTATTCGAAGGTTGAAGTTAGGCTCATATATTTACAGCCTAGATTCAGAGGTAATCTAGAGAGTCAGTCTTTTGTAGTATAATTGTTCAGTCACATATTTTTTAATACATAAACTTCCTGTGTGATATTCGCAGACCCTGCGTGAGAAACAGAAGGCTGTCCGTGAGAGCCACGGGCCCAGCATGCGGCAGATGAAGATGTGGAAGGACTTTGAGAAGCTGATGGAGTGTAAGCGGCGCTGCTTCCTGGGAGAGCGCAACGCGGAGCGGACCATGGGCGGGGCAGACTACAGGGACGACATGGGCGGGGAGGAGAGGCTCGTGTTGTAAAAATCTGTCATTGTTTCATCCGAGAGAATCTTTGACCAGAAGATTTCTTGTACAGATAATGTTGTCATCTTTTCATCAATAATTCCACACCGACTTAATTTTATAGATGACATCCTCTGAAGACACCCAAACTAGTGCGCGCGGGGCAAATAAAAAAATACAGCTAAACCACAGGAATATAAAGCTGGTATAGTGAATTGCAGTAGTACATAGCGACTTTACAACAAGCCGGCATATGTTGGCCTTTTGAAGCATTTATGAGTCGGCACTGTATTGAGTTCTTGAGTTTTGTGGAGCTTAGGCAGCCTGGGTGCCGTCCTCCAGTTATCACCAACTCTCTCTTGTTGCTGTCTAGGACTAGGGAGGATGGCACCCAGGCCAGAGACTCGGAGGTGATTTTTTTTTTTTGAGAACAAGCGAAAATCAATGCGCGTACAGATGTCATCCATAATATTAACTCGGTGTGGCCTTAGAGTCAGCTCAGACCCTGGAATCTAAAGGGTCAGCTGTCATGACCTTTGACTTGACCTATGATCTTTGACCTAAGTCTGAAAGAGTCATGTTGGTGTGTCACAGAAATGTAAAAGTGATAAGTAGTCGAGTTACCTCATTGTGTGGTGAATATCATTTCAGAAATCATATGCAAGCTTCTCTTGTATTTTTTCACTCGCTGCTGAAATTTCACAATTTATCAGAAGATATATATGAAGATGTGAAAATTAACCATGTTCGATGTGAAAAGTATTTTTGCACAAGTTTAGCAATGTAAAAAATGATTGACAAAGGATTTGGATTGAATCTTCTCAAGCTGTTCATGTAGTTAAAGTTGTGTTTTGTGGATGTTTCTCAGTTCATGTGTACAAACAAATGTTATAATATAGAATGCATTTAATATACTAGTACATAATTCTGGCATGAATAAAAGACAGTATACAGGTTAATGCCATTTGTCATTTTTTTTTGCAATAATTGGAATTCGTATTTATTATATATCAATAAGTCTCTCCAATGCAAAGTAGAAGTACTTTATGAAACCAGTAATTAAGTACAAAGTTGTAGATTTTCACGAAAGTGGTTAACCTATTACTATCAGTTTCAAATCATATATTTCCCTTTTAGTGCAGTATATTGGGACATCCCTACATGGCACGATATACATGTATCTCTATTAAGCCATTGTATCCTAGTTACTAAAAGGTCGAAATAAACCATCATTTCTTTACATGTAATGGTCCCCACAACGCAAAAATAGGTTGATATATGAAGGAATGCTTTGTTGTTAGAAAAAATACAGAAACTTGTGATTAGCCCACTCGATTGTAACACTTCATCAAAGACCTGTGCTATCCCTTATTATTTGAACAATTATGATATAGATCTGTTAGGTTTTAATCGACATTAGGTCTTGTTCAACACACTTATTTTATTGCTGTTACTCTCTTTATGTAGTTTGCCATACATTCATACAATTGTCGTGCAATAAAGTTATTTCTTTCTGAAACAAAGAAGGACAGACAATGAAACCAAAAACTAGGTCGTGCGTCATTAGGAAGATCCGCCATGAAAGGCAGCTGATGAACACATTGTCTCCCTGAAGGCGTGACACCTGTACGCGGCGAGATTTGACGAGACTTCAGACCAGACATGGCGGGTGTTCGGTGGAGACCGCCCGGCGACTTTTTCTTCACGTACCGTCTAGCGTTCGTGGTTTTAGCGTTCTTGGTCGAAGGAAGTAGCGCATTCACAGGTACGATTGAGGAGTTTTTATTTTATTGACTTGTATTATTGCTCTAACAGTAATATTCAAAATATACTTGTGCCATTACAGGGTCTCAAAGAAATTCTTGGGGGAAATGTGCTCCCCAAATCGGTTGATGAATAATCAGTGAATTTTCATGAAAATACCAAGAGAAAACCCTAAATTTGAGTAATTTGGAAGAGGTGCTAGGATTTTGGGGAGAGGGGGAGCACCTTCGAGGCTTGGGGACAGCCCTGTCGGATTTCAGTCTTATCCACCCAAGAAGCCATACCGGCGAAAACAGTCTGGGTGTCAGGCTGAATGAATGTTATTCCAGACGGGAACCAAACAAATGGTCATGCGGCTCCTGTATTACTAGTATACTTAGAAATGATTGTGCAAAAGATGGTAGTCAGCCAAGGAATGATTCCACTCCACTCTACTCATACAGAAATGTATTCGCCGTGATTTGACACTTCATATTCAAATGCTAATCACAAATTATGTCGGAATAGAAAAACTCAACGTTTGCTGAGTTTTAGAACCAGTATTTTACCATAAAATACGGTACTTTAAGAGAAATATCAATCCTTATCACCGAGCCTTAGTTAGTTGGAACTATCTATTCCTGTTTTAATTGCATTCGAGGGCACTACCCATTTTGGCTAAGCTTATAACAGGTTAAATATCTATCCAAGTATCCGTTGTCTAACGTTGCTGTATGCACATTTGTTGTTACTTGTTAGAACTGAAACAAATCATAAATAATATTAACGTATCTCAAAATACAGCACACTATTTCTTCATCTACTGCAAATAATTATCTAGCCTCAGTAGCAGGCTTATAGAACCGGGGGTTTGGTGGTCTGCGGCTGTTTTCTGATTAGCCCAGTTCTGAAAAAAATGCGGGTAATTCAACCAGGCCGGCTATGTTGTCTATATGAAATCAGAAAATACCACATAAAAGCTCCCAACGACCATGAAGACCCCCCAAACCCCCAGTTTTTGGCATGCTATGGAGGCAAATAATTATCTGTTTACCTCACATATTCGTTGCCTGGTAACCAGACAGACCCAACAGACACCTGGGGATGTCTCAAAGTAAATATAGGTGTGTTTACAGTACGTTGCTAGGCGACCGCAGGTGATTTCGCCCCGGGCGTCAAACACATTTTGTACTGAGCCGCAAAACAGTAATTACCTCTGTCAGCGACACAATGGCAGTTATAGGAGATACTGCGTATCTCCTGGTAGAGCCGCATTGCTATTCAATCATACAATATAAGGCCACAGCAAGTAAATTTTATGGATGACATCCTCCACAGGTTCCGAATCTAATGCGAGCGGGCGAAGAAAAACAAGGCGGGCCGAAAAAAACAAAGTCGTTACATTTTGAAATTTTGACTCAATCATTGTACAAATGGTTTTGATTCAATGGGAACATCACATATACACAGCCAACATCACACATCACTGCATCAAAGTAAGAAACAAAACATTAAATCAGAGCCTTGTCTTGTCTCCTCTCTTTATAGTTATCTGCCATCCACCTTCCGGCATGGCAACAGACATCTTGGCCTATTTTCGGCATGGTGACCACTGCCAGAAGGCAACAAAATTTCTTGTGTTTTTTTCCAAAATGAGGCGAAAATTAATGCGCGCGCTGATGTCATCCATAAAAATTACGTGCTGTGGCCTAACCAAGGACGTTAGTTCATAAGTTTTTAAGCATGACGGAGATTTTTCTGGAATATCATTCGCATTTCTGTTCAATCATACGAGCGAGATTGAATATAACATTTGTTTATTGATTCATCGTAACAATCTCAAGTACATGGCAGCTCCACCAAGTGCCCTGAATTGTATACTTGCGTTAAACTTACACAATACACAATAGTCAATACAATTATCACAATTACATACAAGTGAGTTTTTAAAAGACAAGTCTAAAGCCAGAATATAAAAGGTTCATAAGTTGCTAAGCGTGATTGAGATTTTTTTCTGGAAAATTAATTGCCTGGATGCGCCTGGATAATGTAGAAATGTGGAAAATGCGGGTGGCTTTTGTTAAGCCAATAGTAAAGGTCTTAAGGGATTAATAAATGAGGCCTCTCTAAATGGGTTATGAATACTTAGTAGTAGAATTCGGCAAAAAAAATAGGCTAGGGAAGCTAATACTGTATTTCATCTTGAAAATAACTGCGCGGACAAGCTCCCCTGGCATGATAATTCTCGACAAAATAACAAGTTGGGCATACTCACAAAACATATACTGGATAATAAAGTTAATATGTAGACTCGTCTCGACTATATGAAAACGCTGTTTTGTACAGTACATCTAACTGACCAGTGCGGGAAAAGCATCAACATCAGAAGTCACGGTGGCCAGGTCAACTCCCAGCCAGAGGCGGCGTACCCGGCTAACACCGACTGTGCGCTGACACTACAGGCCGACTCCGGGAAGAACATCTACATCCGGCTGGAGAAACTCGACATACCAGACGGAAGGTATTGTGTTTGCACTCACGTGACTATGACGTCATGTGGCGCCCGCCATTTTGGTTGGTTAAACCGCATTCGAAGCCATAACATGTGAATTTTCATTTGAATCTCTTACTTAGCCCAAATGTTGCCTTTGCACATATAGGAGGCATCAAACTAGAGAAACACTAAGACACAAGAAATGACATGACATGACATGATAAGAGTTATATTGAAAGTAATGATGTATTTACTTTCATGAACTTTTATTAACAGTCATGCCTTCAAATATCAGAGTTATCAACCAAAAATTGAGGTATTCAAAAACTCGTATTTCCCCAGAACTATCGTAGACTGGAACTCGTTGCCACCAAGCACAGTTGGGGCATCATCACTAGAAAGCGACTCTAGAGCTTGCAATCAAATGTGCAAAGATTGAGCGTAACAAGTCGTTCGGTGTGATATAGCAAGCTGCCGCCGCGCCGCGTGCCTGCGAAGCTGGTGTGTTACGCCGAAGGACGGTTATACCGGCTATATCGATACAGATACAGATACAGATTTGAAAAGGAACTAAAGGTTGTCTTTACGATTGTATTGAGAGCAGTGTGCAGGCGTATCCCACAATACATTGCTGTTTCCGTGCATCTAATCACTTATCTATTTTACGACAGCAATGGACAGACTTGCGGCGACAGTCTGTGGATTTACGACGGTCCTTCCGCGACAGGAACCACCCTGGGCGGCCCGATTTGCGGCTCGAGCGCCGGCGAGGAGTATGAGTCGACAGGGGACGCCGTGACCTTGAAGTTTACCTCAGACTCCGACAGTCAGCGGGGCAGCGGCTTCCTCATTGTGTACGCCGCCTTTGACAGTGGTAAGATGAAGAAATAAACTTGTTTGTGATGTGTTTGTGATACGTATGACAGACCTGCTTGTTGAATTTTTGCCTAGAAATAAAACCTTATTCTGATATCTCAAGGAAAACATATTGTTTCCTCTTCTTGTTCTCCAAATCAATAAGGTCAATGACCTGAATCAGACATCTGTCACCATGGTAGCTAGTGTTGTGTTACATCATGTTGCATATAAGGTTGTATTCGCTCATATAAGGTTAGCATTTCGACAGTAGTTTCCAAATGTTGTGTCGGAAAGAATATCCTCTGCAACAGACGAAATTCTGATGCAACGTTGACCAAAAACCCAACGAAAAAACGTGAAAATACGGGGTTCTGCGCAGTACGTTCTGCCGACGTGCTGCAATTTTATAGCAGGAGGGATTTAGACTCCTGTCTGACCATACCGGTATATATTAGCCTCCTTTTCAGGCGTCTGCCTTAAGAGCCATGCTGGCTCAGAAGAGGACTAAGCTCAGAAAGTCTTTTCAGGCGTTCCCGGATCGGAGCTTTTTTGGGGGGGGGGGGGATTTTGGATCAAACGTAGATCGCACGCAATAGAAGCTCCGGCCGGAAACCCTACATACATCTCCGCCCCCACCCCCACAAAAACACCGATCCGGGAACGTCTGAAAAGGAGGCTAGGTATAAATGAATGTGTTTAAGTAAGAATTAACAGAGCAGACCATATGCGAAGGTGAACATTAATGCACTTGCTTTGCAAACGTGTTACTTTTCTAGTATGGAATTTGGTACCTGTAGATGATATATTCAATACAAAATGTCCCTCGCTCGAATACCTCCATGCAAAAAAATTAAGTAAAGCAAACTCTGTCAAGCTCAGGAACAGCAATATGTTCACTTTGCCTAAAGCCAGGACTCTACGCTTGAATAAGTCTTTTTCCATTGTGCGGTAAGACTCTACAATGACAGTGATAAGCTATTTGAAAACCCATGTCTGCTATTTCCTGTTGTAGATTGAATGAATGGTGTTTGTACATATTTGTATATAACTGTGTTTCTGTGTACTTGTCCTGTTTTGTTTTTTAACCATTTGTAAAAATCGAATACATAATTAGGGGTGCATTAACATTTTCTGCTTTTGTACGATTTTGTTGGATTGAATAGATTGAAATTATTTTTTCCCAGGTTCTCCGTGCGACAGTACGGAGTTTGAGTGCGGGAACGGCCGGTGTGTGTCCCGGGACCTGACGTGTGACCTGGCCAACCACTGCGGAGATAACACTGACGAGAGCACCAGTGCTATGCACGCCAACTGCGCAAGTGAGGACCGCTCCTATTGGGTGTATAAAGTCACGTGACTATGACGTGTTTAGCACCCGTCATGTTGGTGGGCTAAAGGCTCCGTCAAAATGGCGGTGTCTGTCCATATGGTAGCAGAACACAGTTTTTCGCCTATGGGGATTTCTATAGTTAGGACCCAGAAGTGACTGACATCGACTCGGATAAAAATACAGTAGGGTACCATAGAAAAGCGCGAGAAACGAATATGTTCAAATATAGGGTACGATGTACAAAATAACAAAAAAGTACAAAAAGTTATCGTTTTTTTGACATTATGCCGACCTCTTTTAAATGGCCTCCTGCGGAGCGCACCGGAACTGCAGCCGACTCACCATGGCAGGCAGCGAAAAGGTCACGCGCATTTATACGCCGATCGAGCAGCCTTCCTAATCTCAATTATGCGATATCAAAGCCGACCTATTATGGTACCATACGGTAACTTGTATGTCCCGGTGTCATCCACGTTAGGCTGTGTACAAGCGGTGCAAGCTGTTTGTCGCACTCATTTCTTATCCCTACGTCATCGTCTCCGGGGGTCGCGGAGGAATACTGTGTTCTGCTACCATATTCACAAGTTGTAGCGTCACATACAATCAGCTTTTTAGCTGGCTTTTGTTTTACTTTTTTTTGCTCTTTTGTGTTGATTGAGGGGATTATTGCAATTATTATGAGGTCAGTTTAAATACGTGTTTTTCATTGACGTTCGCACCACATGCTTTAGACGGAATTATCCAGAGAGTTTTGTATCCATCACTTTTCTCCCCTTTGGGCGTTGCTGTCCTTGGTACTGAAATAACAACAATTGAAAATCCACCAACACTAACGTTCTTGTTAATCTAGTTATCTGTCTATATGGCCACAGCAAGTAATTTTCATGGATGACATCAGCGCGCACATTAATTTTCGCCTGATTTTGGAAAAAAAAAACAAGAAATTTTGTTGCCTTCTGACAGTGGTCACCATGCCGAAAATAGGCCAAGATGTCTGTTGCCATGCCGGAATCAGGATGGCAGATAACTATAAAGAGAGGAGACAAGACAAGGCTCTGA